ACCCGTAGCCCAACAGGACACATGCGGGCTGCCCGGCCTGCCGGGCCTTCTCGTCGTGAGAACACAAGTTTGTGTAAAGAGGTGTCGAAAGCAAGGCCGCTGCTGGGGGAGGCGAGGCGGGCAGTCGTTCGTCCTGAAATGAAACGCGATGGAAACATAAAAACAGCGTTTAATTTAGCGGGCCCGATCGGGCCGAACGTCCCTTGGGCCTGCCTCCTGCGCCCCTTGGCGGCGGTCGCGTCTTTTGCCTTCAAACGGAATGGCGCTGCCCGCTGCGCGTCGTCCAAAACGGCGTGTGGCGTAACGCGTAGCACGTAGCGCTCCGACAATGTTTCCAAGTGGATTCAGAGGACGTCTTGTTGCCTCTTGCGCGTCTCTTAGCGTCGCTGGTTGAACGGCCGGGCCGCCGCCCGCCTTCGTGCCTGGTGCCTGCTTCGCGCGCCGCGGAGCCGCGGACCTGTGGCGACCTCCGTCGGCCAGCGCGCCAACTCGGTGCGGCTCTTCGCAGATGCGGCGGATGCGGAGCGCGCGGAGTATCGCGGCCGGCCGTCCCACAGTGTCCCACAGACGACGGCGATACCCCGTGCGCGCGAGGCGCGGCGCGGCGGCGCGGCTGGAGCCAGGTGGTGGTTGCGCTAGCGCCGCCCGCTCACTCCGCCTTGTCCTTGTCGTGGTCGTGGTCGTCCAGGTCCTGGCAGGGGTAGTACTTGCTGCAGTCGTCGCCCTGCTTGCCGCGGAACACGGCCTTCTCCACGCCGCGCTTCACGCTCTCCGGGATGTACTCGTTGGACAGGATCTCGCCCGTCACCCTGCAAAAGGCGAAGCGCGAAGCAGGTTCACAAAAACGGGCCAGGTGGGCGGATTCGAACCGGCGGCAGTCACGCAGCGCTGCGTGGCGGGAACGCAATGTGACTGTGCTGCCACACTGCGCGCGCCACGCCTCGGCGGCACAAGGCGCCAAGCGCAAGGGACCGTCCTGTTCCGTTTCCGCCGCCGCCGCCGCCGCCACTCACACTCGCATGACGTGCCGCTCCAGGGCGCTGGTGCCGCCGGCGTCGCCGCCGGGCTGATGCAACTCGCAGGACAGCCTCTCCAGGCAGGCGGGCGACGGGTACCCCGAGGACGCCGATGACGCCGCCGCCGCCAGGGTCTCGTTCGACGGGGTCGGCGCCGCGGCGGGCACGATCCCCGTGCACGTCAAGTACGAGGCCAGCAGGCGCTGCTCTTGCGCGCGGGCCTCGGCACGCGGGATCTGCGGACAGTATTGGCATGGGTGACATGATTCAAGGACGGGTCAGGGCAGCGGTTCTCAACCTTGCGGTCAACAATATTCTGGGGTCGCGTCTTAGTGCCTGCCGTCTGATTCTGAGCACTGCTTTCGTCGCTCTGTCTCTCTCGCATTCATGGGGCGTTCCGTAGGGGTGAGAGAGAGACAGAGCGACGAAGCAGTGTTCGGAATCAGACGGCTGGGGACACGTGGTGTCGCGACTGGCGATCTTTGCCAGACCAAGAGCATTTCCAGAGCATGCCCCTGATGTTGCTTGTCTGCGGTTCGTTTGGTTACTGGTGCAGCGCTGGTGGCACCGCGGCATGTTCGCCTGCTTGTGTGGCACGACTGCGCGCCGCGCGCGGCGACAAGACGCGGCGCCTCCTCCGATGCGTCCGCGCGAGGCGTGTCGCCGTCATTGTTAGCGCCGCGTGCTTCGCGGTGCGTCTTGCCGCGTGCCGCGTCGCATTGTTATTGTTACGCACGGCGCACCGGAGCGCGACGTCGCCGTGCCCGCCGTGCCCGCCGTCCGGGACGGCGCGGGACGCGACGCCACCTCGTTGCGAAGCACGCACCTGGGACATGAAGCTCTCCAGCAGCTGCAGGTCGCCGGCGCGCTGCCTCGCCATGCGCGCCATCTGGGACAGCTGCTGGCCCTCCTCGACGCCGCGGCGACGCCGGCGCCCGGAGATGACGCCCAGCTGCAGCAGGATGGGGTTGGTGACGAAGGCGGCCGCCGCGCCCAGCAGCGCCACGCCTGCAACGGAAGGGATCGGATCGGTGATCGGGAGCAATAGCCTGCGAGGCAGGCAACGCAGAGCCGCGACGCACCGCTGTGCTGCCTACCCTCACGGCGCTCCCCGCTCCCCGCTCGGCGCTAGACTCGGCGCGCGCGGTGCAGCAGGGCTTACCAGCGAGCGGCACGAGCAGACTCTTGACGGCCAGGGCCTTGTGGTAGTGGGAGTCGTGGTGCAGGTGATGGTGGTCGTATTCGGAGAGGTGGCCGCCGCCGAACCCGCCCCCCAGCCCGCCGTCGAGGCCGCCGTCGCCGCCGAAACCGCCTGCGCCGCCGACGCCGCCTCCAGCTCCGTAGAATCCAAGTCCGCTGCCGCCGTGGTGGCCGGCGAAGCCGCCGTCAAAGCCTCCGTGGCCACCGAAGCCCTCTGCAACAACGTCGCGTGAGACTTTGCTCGCGGGGCTGTCTGCGCCTGTGCGGGCACCGCGCTTACCTCCGCCGTACACGGTGCCGTGGATGTGAGACGCCTGCCCGCTGAGCTGGCCCTGTGCGCCTCTCTTGGTCTCCTCGGCCTCGCGGACCTCCTCCGTGGCCGCGCTGCTTGCCACCCGCGGCCCCGGCACGACGGCCAGCCCCACGCCGATGCGGCGCGACTGCAAGATGAGAGGACGGCACCATGACACTATGAACCTCGAACACTGGAAGCCAGCAACGGCGCTCTCCCCGTGAGTGCGAGAGGGACGGAGCGACGGGGCACTGCCTACCTGCGAGTCCTTGTCCAGGCTGCGGCTTCCGGACGGCGACTGGCCCTGCTGGCCCGAGATGATGGAGGAGCCGGGGTGCGCCTGCGCCAGCATGAGCGCCAGCAGCACTGAGAGGGGCGCCATCATGGCCTTGGTGGCCTCGAGGACCTGGAGGACCTGCCGGACACGGAGCACGCCGTTGAGCCCTTCCCGCCTGGCAAAGTCCGAAGGGGAACACTCTGTCACGGCAAAGGCGGCAAACTTGCCGCAGTGTTTTTCGTCACAGAGTGAATTTGCACAGTATCAACCATCAACCAGCACGTTTCTTGAGACGCACTCCCGACGGAACTGGAACTGCACTCACTAGACAAGCTGCGGCGAGAGTCCTCGACGCACTACACTGACTGCACTGGCACTGTCTGGTGGGGGCGGAGGGCGGCGAGGCGCTTTATACCCCGACGGCCGAGGGGGACCGAGGGGGGCCCCCCTCCAGGCCTTGCAGTGCAGGACCCTCACTCTGTCTCTCTCGCACCCTAGGAGTGTGACAGAGACAGAGCGACGCAACGGCTCCTGAATCGCTCGGCAGCCCCGCGGCCACGACGCGGGGGGACGCTCTCGGACGTCCGACGTCCGGCGCGGTGGCGGTGGCGGGCCGTCGCGTCGCGTGCCATTCTTGGCCAATCAGCAGGCTTATTTCGTCGCGCTACCCTTTGCGCACTCAAGGGGCGTTCCGCAGGGGTGCGAGAGAGACGGAGCGACCGGACCAGTGCACTGCGCGGAGTCTGGGGTTGGGAGTGAGCGCGATCCTGACGTGATATGATGGTGGTTTGCAAAGCAAACAGCTGTGGTCCCCGGGGTGAATTGGACATTTAGGACATGCTTTACAACTCTGGTCCTACTCAGGGACTCTAGTTTTTTTTTGGAGCCCATGGTGCGGCTGGACGGCAGCAGGTGGGGAGGGTCTTGACGGCGAGCACGGCCAGCGACGACATCGGTGACAGCGGCCACTCGCGGCCACCGACCTCGGCGCCGTGCCACGCCGTGCCACGCCGTGCCACGCCGTGCACAATGTGTCCATTTGGTTGGTAAAGAAAGCCGAACGGCCGAAGTGGCGGCGGCTGGACCTGCCTTGTCTGCCCTGCCTGTCCCGCCGCCTCCACGGCCACGCACTTCGCCGCCACGCCGCGCGACGCCGCGACACAAACGCAGGAAGACATCATTTCCAAACGGCACTCGTCCTCAGCCCCGCCGGCCCTGCCGCGCTCGCTGCGTTTCGGGCCCTGCATAGCATGCGCACGCAATGGGGAAGGACCGGGAGGACGAAGGGCCGAAATCGGCGGCAGCGGACGGGATTCGAACCCCCGACTTGTCGCGGCGGATGGCGTGAAGGACGACCTGGCCCCTGGCAGTGCCGTGTAGTGGACGTGGCGGTGTGGCCTCTAGGGCGTGTGACATGAGTGACGGGCTTGCACTACTGCCTACACTGAAAGGGGTCGGCTGGGGCCAGCAGCACGAGGTCGAGCGACCACAGACCACTGCTCTGCCTGGCCTTGCAGGCAACTCGATGTTTCCATTTTAATTTGAGCTTTGCTGAATTGTTGAATTTGGCGAGGGGCTGGTGGGGTCTACACGTACTTGTGCTCAAGGTCTAGCTAGACGACTCCTGCGGTAGCCGCCGGCGTAGAACCGTTTAGAAAAGGGTGGCCTTGGCAGGATTTCGAGACGACCCCTTCCCGGCACTTGGAGCCTCTGCGTGCTGCGCAGTGCTGCGTGCTCTTGTTACCTACTCGGTTACATACACGCCTTCGCGACTCAGCGACAGTCGCACGCGCACGCACGCGTCCTCCCGTGGTCCTTGGAATCCTTGGTCGCATTGTGCAACTAGCGTCTACCAGTGTCTCCGCATCGCCGGCAGAATCGCGCACCATGTGGCACCATGCCCTCTGCTCGGCCCCCTTTCTGTGACAGACAAGCTAGTAGGTGTGAGTAACGTAATTCCTTTCAAATCGTAGGAAAGCTGAGGAGCGATTCAAAATGGCAATCCGCGTAAATGTAGAAGAATGTTCCAAGGCACCCAGCAAGATTTTTTTCCGTCTGAATTTTCTGAAGAAAACGGGGAAATGGACCAGCTTCAAACGAAAGTTACGAGTACCAGACCAGGGAAAGCCGCTTCCCCCCTCCCCCCTTTCCCCTTCCCCCTCTCCCTCCGGCTGAATGTGGATGTCAATAAGGCCCCCCACCACCCACCCGATCTGAATCTGAATAATGGAAAGCCTGCGTTGCAACTCGCAGACGCCGTGTTTGAAATCAGAAAGAAAACAAACAGTCCCTGAAAGCAAAATGATGAAAAGGTTTCCTGCTTTTGAATGAAATGGAGATCCTGTTATTGGGCTGCTCCTTTGACCCTCTATGATAATTGGCAACCGTGTTGAACCAATTTTGTAACTGCACGTCCAGTAAGTGTGGAATGATGAGGTTATGGATGTCTCATGTAGTTTTAACTTAGCGCAGGGACAATTTGTATCCAGGTGATCAAACCCTGATTAAGCTTCTCAAACATTTCTCTCACTTCAATTGAATTGTTTTTTCTAAATTTTTTTTCAGAAAGAAAACGTCTACAATGTTCCCTGCCAATCACAAAACAGTTTTTGTGTTGGATCATACACCACAGTTTGGCTCTTCTTATGATTCTGTTGTTGAACTCGATATGGGGAACAAACCTCGGGGGTTGAGTATGATTCCACTGTCACCTATTTACAAAAGCCTTTGGACTGCGAGTGTTGAAGCTGCCTTAGAATACTGTCGAATTGTGTGGGATCTGTTCCCAGAGAAAAAATACGTATGTACACTTTGTAAATCTAATAAATTTTTTAGAGTATTAAACACAAAATTGTAATGCAGATAGTTTTTCAAAAATACTTCTTAATTTTTTTTTCTACTGAAAATTCAATGATAAATATTTTTATGTCGCAGGTTCGATTTGTTGTTAGCGATACCCGAGGGCAAGTACTGAATTCGTGGAGTCCTGGTCACCAAAATCTGGCGTGTGTAAGGAGAATACTTTGACTCGATAACTTAGTTTTAACAATAGGATAGCATTGAATTAATTTTTTTAAAAATCTTGTCTCTTTGTTGAACAGATTCAAAACCAACTGGGTCTCATTGGAGTGCCTGCTCCTGCCTCTCGTTCTGTCCAGTCTGAAAGTTCCATTTTCCCGGGATTACAGGCTGCTGTAGATGCCATTTGTCAATGTACTGATGTTCAACATGAAAAGAGGACATCTCTTAGTGACAATTCTAATAAGGTGTGGTGTGATATTTTTGCTCCCCCTGCTCTATTTTTAATTATTCCAAAATCTCTTTGTCCAAACATATAATTGTGAGATCTTTTCTTCAATTCAGATCCTTAATAGATCAAGAGTGATATGCATCACAACTCAAAAGGATAACCAGTCTATAAAGAATCTTCAAGATATGTTCATTAAATTTGTAAATCAGTCAAACAAAAAGGCTGCAAGTTCTGATACGTAAGTCCCTCCCCCCCAGAGAAATAAGTTTGTAATATTTTTTTTTGTTAATGTAACTAATAATTACATTTTCATGGGCTTTGCTTGGATGCTACAGGTTGATACCAATCAATCACTGCCACCTTGTCATTTTAAATGTGACTCCAAGAAATGGTGAGCCATGTCTTGTGAATCCAGTGCCAGCAACAGATGTAAGTGTGGCTGATACAATTTTTTCCATCTATCTTGTCAATAATAACACTGATGGTAATAAGTTTTTCCTCTCTAGATTTCTTCAACTGTTACCTCAGAAGTTCATGCGGTTCTTCCAAATGGCAACATTGCTGTGAAACTTTCACATTTGATCCTTCAGCACTATGACCTAGCTTCAACTACAGTGACAGGGATTCCAATGAAAGAAGAACAAAATGCAAGTTCCTCAGCCAACTATGATGTGGAGATTTTTCACCGTTCTGAGGCACACGCATCAATATTAAAAGGTTTTTGTGTAACTTTATTTTATTATTAAATGTCTAATTTTGTTGCTGAAGTAATCATTTAGCTTCTTATGATGCAGCCGAATTTTGCTTGAGGATGCTCATATTATCATCTTGTATTCAAACTTTTGTTTCTTTTGTCTTGTCATTTCATGCAAAGTTGAAGGATACCTGAGAGGTAGGATTGTGCTTTGTTTGAAAGAGAGAGTGGTTTTCATTTATTCAACTTTCAGATGCAACATTAATAATTATTTATTAAATAATGTCTGTAGCTGCCAGGCCTCAAGGCACTCTTGTACTATTTATGTACCACAATCACAATTCTAAATGTTACTATTTTTGCCAATCATTTCCTCAGGGAATGCCCAGGACACAGCTCTAGTTCGCACTCTAAGGGAAGGCTGTGAGTATGATACAGTTACTCTGAAGTGGTGCACTCCTCGCGGTGCAAGTGCATCAGAAATGCATCACTGTACTGTAATGCACAGAATTACACCTGTTGATGTCAATAGGTATGTTCTTCTCTCTGATTATGCTTTTCAGTGTGTGGGAAGTTGCTTCGACCAATATTTGTTTGTTTCAGCCGACCTTCATCATGTTTAATAAACTTCCTCCTTAATGGCCGATCAGTCATGCTTGAAATGCCTCGCAAAAGTGGTGGCAAAGTTCTGTCTCATATGCTTGCTGCTCATGGCGGTGAAATTTTTGTTCACACTCTTGGCACATCTCGCAGTGTCTTGGAAGACCCTCCGTCTATAAGTGAAGGTCCTGGAGGCAGAGTCACTGATTATAGGATTCCAGTAAGTTTTTAAGTCACTTATTGAACTTGTGGTTGAGCAAACCTTAAGTGAGCCTTATAGTCAAAAATGTATTCATTTGTGTAACAATAACAAATGTAATTTTCAGGATTTTGGCCAGCTTATGAAAAAGAACAAACTATTACCTTTAAAGAGGAAACGACCTGAGGGTTCGGATTCAAAAGAAGACGTCATAATGCCTTTGGACCGCATGCGTCAACGTTTAGAGAGATATACAAAACAATGGCCAATCACAATATCTTCTACAAGTGTTTTTAATCTTAGACCTGTGAGTAACACATTGAATTCTATTTGGATATTCTTTTAAATAAATAAATAAATTCTTAGCTCCTGTTGTCTTGTTTGGGGTTCAATCTGAAATAACATGGTGAATTAATATTAATACTTTTCTTCACAGGAGCTAGATCCTTTGTTAAATGCAATAGTTAAAGAAACTATATCAGAGGATGAAGTTCTTCAGTGTAAACAGGTTATTTTGAGTCTCATTGCACAAGAAACAAGAAATGAGCCATTGCAACCATCATCAAGTGGGCAACGAACAAAAGGCCCTAAAAGGTACTGCAGTTTTATCCAAAAAATATTGTTTTAAAAAAAGAAAAAGTAACATTTTGTTGTTTTTGTTATTTTTGTATCATAATAGAAGATGATTAACAATTATTTGTTCCTAATGTAGGGATGAGCAGTACCGACAAATGTTTGCGGAGCTTGAAAGCCTTATTAGATCACATTGTCGTTCTGATCAACATACTGCAGTTCTGAATTGTCTCCTTGACTGTCGTAATCGGGCTGATGATGATCCTAAGGCGAAATTGGAGCGTAAAGATGATAAAGTTGAACTTGATCAAGCTTTGAGAGAACTGGACCAGTAAGTATCTTTTCACCTTGGTGTGTGCTTGTTCTATTAGGTTAAATTATTTATCGTTATCCTTCTCTCATTCAATGTTCAGAATGTCTGCATCTCCAAACCCTTCAGTGAATGGCCAGAGAGTAAGTGTGATAAGAGCAACAACAGACTCGCCTATGTCACCTCCCGCAATGTCTGGTCCCACATTGCCACTTTCAAACTCAAGAGGTCATTCACGCACATCTTCACACAGCATTTACTCTTCTGGTCCCCGCACAGTCCTTGACTTTCTTATTACAACTTCTGATTCCAAAGCTACCAGGTAAAACACCTATTTTATCTTAAATCTTTTGGCTTGGTAAAAAACTATATTTAGTATTAGTAATGTTTATTTCATTTTCTTTATTCCAGACCAGAATTTCATGGATTATTAAATTCTGAATCAGGGCCCAACGGAAGTAAAGTTGCCAAGTTATATGCACACTTAAATCAGGATGGGGGAAAAGCTGATTCATCTGTAAATGAAGCTGAATAGTTTGCATTTGTTTCTATTTTATCTGTGATCCGTTTAAATGTTCAATAGTAGCCCCATCAATCTTTTGGAACAGCTTATTGATCTCAAAATTAACACCCTGTATTCCAATCGTGTCTACAATACAGTGTGGCTCATCCAACAATTTTTTAAATGCATTACTGTATAAATTTTACTCCTGTATAATAAACTGAAGATTAAAAAATACTGAAATTTAGACCACTTAGAATGAATTTTTAAAATAAAATAGTAAATAAGAATGAAACCTCGATTTAAAAAAAAAAAAACTTTTTTGGTACGGTGTGGGAAATGGTAATTTAGACCCCTCCAGGGAAGTGTATGAGGATCACCAGCTTATAATTAATTTCTCATTTTTTTCTCCTACTAAATTCCACAAAAGATTGTGAAGGATGTTTGAAAAACAAAGAGCAAAATAATCGAGAGGCCTTGGAAGGCAAGTAAAAACACAATTGTAGTGCGGGCTTTATCATGACCCAAGGTGCCAAGACGCCGTTATCTTAGCACGGAAAAGTAACGATTGTTGCTACGGCCCCAACCATTTCATCAGAGATTCCCAATTCTCTCGGGCTTGGCCTCTCAGAATCGTCTCGGTCCGAGCGCCTCATTGCCAGTCTTTTCCTCGGTTCCCCCGAAGCCGGTTGCCGGCTGGCGCACCCTCTCGCCCTCTTTCGCCTCTTTCGACTAGGACTTGCCCCTCTTGTCCCGAACTGCATCCCCTCCAAAGTCCGCCCTATCCCCACCAGACCGCTAGTGTCGTCACATCCACCAACCCAAGGTCCCATTCAAAGCCCCCAAGCTGCCCAAGGCTCTGAATGGGCCAAAAACTGACCGAAACTATCGCCCAATTATCGCGCGATCTTCAAATTTTGAGCCTTCGCGACGGGACGGCCGTACAGCCTTTTCAATACCCTGGTATTTCTACCCCTTCTTGCGCGCAGCGCTCGCAACTGCTCCCAACCTTGCCGCGTCGCAGTCGCAGCGCGGGAGGGGCTTCAACGTCCGCGCACTCTCTGAAAGGACTAGAAAGAAACGAAGGAAACCTTTCATTTCATTGACAATCGTGTTTAGATTAATGCCGTGTTCTGAAGAACATTTCAAACGTTTAGAATTAAATGGAATAAGAAATATCCAGAGTGTTTTTGTGTACGAGCGCTACTAGTGCTCTCTTGCGTCGGTTTGGCAAACTGCTGCTCTCCACAGTTATCACAATGGCTTCCGTAAGAGACACAGCAACTTTCTTCACTGAGGGTTCTTCAAACCAATTTGAACATGTTTTGAAATTATATCCCGAAGCCCTTAGACTCAAGGCTGAAAAGAAGGTCAAGAAGCCCGAAGAACTCATTAAATTGGACAATTGGTGAGTATTTCATGACGAAAACGGTCTCGGAAAATCCGTATAGGATGTCATTGAACCTTGCTTTGTATTTCGCTCTCCTGGGAAGCCTTATAAAACTGATTTCTTGGGCAGTTTGAACAGTGATTAAGGTGGAACGACAAGTAGTGTATTGGCCCTTGTAGTCGGGAGAGTTTTCCTTGTCGAATCGGCTCGAAAATGCCCTGAATTAGTGATGTGCGTCGAGGCTTGCAGGTCGGGCTGGTTCTGGTGTAGCGTCATGTCGGGCCGCTGCGCTGACGTTTGCCTTGAGTGGGGTGCCCGCTTCTAGTTCGTTCTTCGGAAACTATTCTGTTGGACATTTTTTATCATGCTGGGCTCCAGACAAGCCTTTTCAATATTTTTTAATTTAATTCACGGGCCGTCTTTTCTAGGGGTGGGTTGGTCTTGCCAAGTCTTTCAAGTTATGTTCCACTTCCAAACAATCCCTGAAAATCCAACATGGAGACGCGAACAAAGAGTTGTTATCGGAGGTCTGAAAATTGGGCCTGTCAGAATTTTATTCCCTTTTCGTTGAGGACTTTAAAATAGAGTTTTTGTAAATTCTGTTATGTTGGAAATCCGTTAAAGCATTATTTGGCTGGTGTTTGTTGGCCAAGCAGACGGACGGGCTGCTATGCTCAGCCACAGACCGTAGACCGTCACAGAGGTTAAGACGAGACGCGTCAACGCGGTGTGATCTAACCGTGCCAGTTCCACATTATATTTGTACCATTCTTTGCGCTATGAATTTGTTTCATTTTTGTTAACTGCTTATTCCTAAATGTCAGAAAATTTTCAATTTGTCTATCCTGTCATTTTTCATGACAGTTCTGTGTGGAAGAAATAGCTTTGTTATTTACACCCATTTGGTTCCCCCATTCAATTTTTTCTTTTGATTAATATTATTTGGATACATGTTTTGTTGATTACCGAACTAGTCACACAGAATTTTAATTTTTTTCCCCCCTCTAAGTTTACCCTAGTAATTTTATTAACATGCTAGCACCCCTTAAGTCTCATTCTTGTCATTCATTAAATTGTAATTTGACCTACCATCTTTTGACTAATCATTTTGTTTTTTTTTAGAGAATAATATAAGCTGAATCTAAAATTTATTTGTGCGTCCTGTGAGTCTCTAATGTTTATAAGACTGACCTTTTTTTTGTCATTTGTTTTTAAAGGTACCAGAATGAACTGCCAAAGAGAATAAAATCCAGAGGGAAGGATGCTCACTTGATCCACGAAGAATTAGTACAAACAATGAAATGGAAGCAAACAGTGAGTACATCGTTAATTTCCATCTGGGTTGTTCCAGTTCTCTATCGAAACCTTTTTTTTTTTTCAAACCAATGGTTGTGTGTTTGTTGTGCGAGACATTATCTTTGACGACTACAGCATTACACATGATAGTAGTACACTTAAATCATTACTTTGACTGCATTTTTTAAAAATGTCCTCCTGCTTCTTCATACTGGTATGATGATTTTGGCACAGTATGCTTGAAGAAGTCTCTTCACTCAACATCTAGTTGACAGTATTTCTTGTTTATCATATTTTTAAATGTTTTATCTTAATTTCCACAGCGAGGGAAATTCTACCCTCAATTATCATACCTGGTGAAAGTAAACACACCAAGAGCTGTCATGATGGAAACAAAGAAAGCTTTCCGCAAGCTTCCCAATTTGGAGCAAGCTATCACAGCATTGAGTAACCTGAAGGGTGTTGGAACTACAATGGCCTCTGGTAAATAATTTCTCCCTGTCTTAATAGTGGTACAATAAATTGTTAAGTAAAAGCGTTTAATCATTTAATTTTTTTTTTATAAATAATTAGCTTTGCTTGCTGCGGCTGCTCCTGAGAAGGCTCCATTCATGGCGGATGAATGCTTGATGGCTATTCCTGAAATTGAGGGTATTGACTACACAACCAAGGAGTACCTAAATTTTGTGCAGCATATTCAGCAGACTGTTGAGCGGCTGAATTCAGAAGGTACTATCTGCTGAAAGATAAGGGTTTTGCCCCATTAATTATGCTTCAAGATTCATTTTTATTGATTCTTTGTATGAAATTGTAGGTAACAGTGTGTCATGGAATCCCCACAATGTGGAACTGGCTTTGTGGACACATTATGTGGCAACTGAATTGAAGCCAGAACTGCTAGAATCTATTCCTTCTGCTGTCAAAAACGGTAAATCCCATCAAAATGGAGATGTAGGATCGACAGACCTTAAAACAGCGGTAAGTCATTTATTCAATGAAATTCTCTGTGTGAAGCATCTGGAAGTTTTTTCAAATCTAATGTGTCTTTCAATTGTTATCAGGTGATAGATCCCAGCTCAGAAGATAGCAACTTGGACCCAGCTAATGGAAAATCTGGTTCCGCCTCAGTAGCAGCTTCTGATACCAATGTTGATGAAAATTCTACGACTTCATTTACTGAAGATTCAATGGATAAACCGTTGACTCCGGCATCAGGTGCGGCTGCTCCAGAATCGGCCTCAAATGGTGCTGGTGGGGAGGAAACGAACGACTCTATTGCTACCTCAGATTCGGCTACAAATGACTCCACCGTCGTAGAAACAGCTAAGTTCAGCCAAGAATCAGCTACAGAAGAGGAAGAGTCAAGAAGCAGTGTCATTGAAGCTAAAGAGAGCTCCAACAGTGTTGAACCTGCAAGTTTAAATGAAAATGTTGATGTTGCGGTTGAAGTTGAGCCCGCCGAAAAAAGGAAGTCAGATGATAGTGAGGTTCCTGTGGCTAAAAAGGCGAAAACCGAACAGGATGAGGATGTGAAAACAGAAACCAATGCAGAAGTTGCAGAAGAAGCCAAGTGACATTTTCAAAGGACTTGTCACTCTAAACTATGTAGGAACAACTTGAATTTATTTTATTTGTTTTTCTTTAGTGAGGAAGACCAAGAATTGGAACTCGAATATGGAATTAACATGATTTGGAGTTTTCCCCCTTTTAAATTAACTGTATAGGAAAAGTTTTGTAAGAGAACTGTGTTCCTCTCTGAGCAAGCAACATGGATGTGTGAATCTCTCTTGATTGTAATCTAATATTGGTAGTGCTTTTTGGACAGTCTCCTCATAAGGAAAATCATGTTTGTATGAAGTGACGGCTCGTGGTGAGATTTAATTATATCTACGTATTAAAACAGTGATAATTTAAGTGAACGGTCTGCACACGCTCAGCTTACATCTCATCAACTCTGAAGGCTGAAAACTGGCAACATATTTTTATATCTAGCCAGAACTTGATTGTGGCAATGTCATAGGAGGCACAAGATTGGCCCAGTATGATTTTTGTTACTGACCAGTGTGGTTGTGTAATAGAACAAACTATTCTATATTCCAACTAAAAACCACTTGTCGGATATTTTAGTTGAAATATAAATATAGGAAGGTGCTTAGATATCTTTTCTCTACTGAGTTAATTTTTGAAGTGGGGCTGTTGGGTGGAATTTTTCTTCACTCTTAAACAATTTTTGTCCTTAAATCATTTTAAGACGGTATTCAACCATGTCGACTGAATTTCATGTGACATTCATAAAGAGGCAATATTTCTATGTTTGTGTGGCTAATGTTTGATGTGATACATTCATGATAAGCAATTTCAACCTTACATGACAGATACCTAGCATGATCAGATATAAAGCAATTTCTACTGGTCAGTTAAATGCTGCTGACTTCCTTAATCTACTTTTGCATTAGGTTGCAAATTTTTTTACTGGCATTTTCCTTTGTATCTTCATTTTAAATGATGTACAGTTGGTCAATATTATTGATTTCTTTTTCCATTGTGTTCAGGCTTTTATTTTAATTAGGTTTATGTTTTGATTGGGCTTCTTTTCTCGGCCCTTTTTCCACAATGATTTTGTATTTCTATGTTAAACAGCTGTTCGTGCATACCCCAAGGAAAACTCAATGTTTTTTCTCTTCAGCAGTATTTTATGGATTTGATTAGGAACTAATTGACCCTGTAGCTTTCAATTTTTTTCCTGTCTTAATATTCTGAAGCAATTTGAAAGTGCTGGTTCACTTTTCTTTGCTAGTTGATCATGGCATTAGGTCGGAGTTCATTTTACTGTCACATTTCTATCCATCATTGGTACCATGGGTAGATACTTGTTGAAGCCAACAACTTTGTTAAGGAGGGTTGTGTTAACAGCAGGTGCTAATGATTTGTATGCTCTTATCTTTGTCTTGACCCCTCTCTTGTAGAGATGTATGCTCAGACCGTTCAAGCTAGCCAATTTTGATGGCGCTAATCAAGTATGAAATTTCTTCTCTGCTACACCTGTGTCAACATTGTTGAATGCTTATTTATTTTTTAGTGTGTGATTGTAGTTGTTTTGGAAGTCTTGCTTTAGCCCATCCTCTTTCTTTGAATGAACATTCCATTTGCGTGTGGGTTGGTATGAATTAATTGATGTGGTCACGCAGACGGTTTGTGTATTGCGGGTTGCCTGCACTGTCATCTGGATTGCCGTTTTGTTCCTCTTCAGGGGAATTAAATGTATCACTGGCAATGTCCTCTAGTGATAATTACTGTTTTTTACTCTGTCTCCTCTCCCCCTCCGGCCTTGAGGGATCATTTGTATATTTATTTTTAGTTAATAGTTGTCTGTCATACGTAGTTTCCTTATTTTCACTTGAGTTTTCAGGGTGGAGTGGAGCCAAGAGACGTTACAACCCCCTTGCTTTAGAATGAAATTTTCCTGTTTCTAATTATTTTTTGAAGTTGAAGCAGCTTAGTCAGTTGACACTTAAAGTGAGTCAACTGTAAATTTATCAGGGAATGTTGGCAGTGTTCAGGGTTATTCCTCCCATTTGGGATCAGTCATGTTCTTTACATTGTGTGTTACAATTTCCTTTTCTATTTCTTACCTGTATACCTCACACTTTAACAGGTGACTTGTACCAAAATGTATTCTTTGTACTACTTCAGCTTTCTGAATATGATGTGTTGACTTGAAGTCACATTGTGCCTTCTGCTCCCAATGGGATGGATGAAAATAATGTTATATAAACATGTGACATAATTTCTGGTGTAAGCATTTTCATTGTTATTGGATGTGCATTTTCATAACTCGAGGTATACACTGTGTGTTTAAATACATGATTTTAAAATGAAATCTTGCCAGTTGTTTTTTTTTCTGTACAATTATTTTCTAATCACAGCTCAGGATGTTTTCTACTCTGCAAAAATAGCACTTGTAATTTTGTTGCACCTCTCTGGGACTAGAGCAATCAAGAAGCTTTCTGGGGCCAACCTCTGGGTGTATTCAAAGACAAAATGCTCATCTTCAAAAGGCCGTGCTTTTCTATGAGTGAGCTGCAGTTCTCAAGTTTACATCACATCTCAAGAGTACTTCAACTTAATTTAGTGTCCTAGTTGTACTATTTATGTATGGGATTTATTTTCTCTCTTGTAGTGGGAGTAGATATACTACCACCAAATGTATTGGTCTGTCCACTCATGTTTGCCAAGTACATACATTATCTGGTTGGATTCTTTTTTTCTGCACAAACGATGCAGCATTTGTTACTAGGTGAAATGAAGTTTTTGGAAACTGTTGTAAGAAATTCATTGGAATGGTTTGCAGCATATTTATCCAATGTATACCAAATCAATTTCTTTTGTATTGGCTCATAAGAAGTGATATTCTTAAAGCACTTATTTGTACTACTGTATGAATGTTTGTGACTGAAAGCCACTCGGCTCTGCCATTTTATTTGCAAGACGAGGGTAAAATTCTTGTTAGTGTATTTCCATGAAATTACTGTACTGAAGGGGGACAGCTTTACTCAAGGTTGCTACATTGTGTTTGACAAGTAGACTGCGTGTAGGCTTAGCAGCACTTTCGACTTACTTTACTCTTTCAAAATTGAAGGGGTTGACCTGATTCTTGAAATTGTGTACCTCTGTCATTCCCTCTAGAATCTAACAGTAGCTGAGCCAAGTATAGCACATGCAGAAATCAATGTGAAGTGAGAGTGATACAGATGCAACTATTTCAAAATTTAGATGAGGAGTTACTATGTTGTGATTGGCAGTGAGCTCCTGGAAGTATTTTTGCCTGAGATCCTAAGCATAAAGTAATATGGTACAGAGTTCTACCTTCTTTGTACTCTACTATTTTTTAATATTTTATGACACTTGTAGGAAGCCTTTGAACAAGAAGGGTGGAACATCAAAGATCGTTTAATAAAGAATGCTACATGTATTTTAGTTCATATTATTACCCCCATCGTCCAGAAAAATCAAAATTTTTGTTCATGTTGGCCGAATTAATGAAAAATATATCTAAAAAGACTGGTTTTTACCTTTTTATTTAAAAAAATATATTTAGGTACATTAAGTCTTTATGACTAACAGCTACCAGTGACTGATGGAAGACTCACATCACAGAATTGAAAGAAACTAATGGCATCTGGACTCACAACTGCAAACATGACTGGCACAGAATCACCCAAAGCCTCCATTAAAACTCTTATCTCTCCAGGTGCTGGTACTGCATCACTCGCCCTAAACACAGATAAAATTAGAAACTCAAATGACAAACAACTGCTGTAATTTGCACTCAAAATAAAAATATTAGTTACCTCATGATACAGAGATGAAAGTCAGGCACAGGGGGATTCCCTTTCCGGAATGGCTTGCTAGGCAAAAACAAGTCAAATTGAGGCTTGAACTGACGTTCATAGGTAGTTGAAACAAGACTTGGAGTATCAGCTTCCTTTATCACTTGCACTGACTTGAATACAGACTCTATAGAGACAAGGAAAAAGAGAGAATTAGATGAACAATGAAAACTCAAACATCAAAAAACATTTTGTTCTGCAGAAGGAACCACTCACCAAAGTCTTTACATTCTCGTGGGGAAAGAAGCGGTTTCACCTCAGAGGGTGAACTACAGCTTTCATCTGTGTTATCCATACTAGAATTATTTTCATTTCGCTCCATATCTTCACTTGTGCTATTATCATCACTGGAATCTGATTCAGTCTTAATATTTGGACTGTTGGCATCATCAGATGAACTATCAGACATCTGCCCCTCAATTTGACTTTTGTCAGATAATGTACGCATATGTTTGTACTTGGAGTTATTGGGTGGGTTGAAATACCTTTTCCCCATTCCCCGTAATCTTGGCTTTTTAGATTTCACTTGCTCCCAGGAGCTAGGTCCTGCAGTTTTCTCAGAGACATTTTCAAGAGGACGAGATGTAGACTGAAGTGGGATCACTTGATTCATTGGAAAGTTATCTGTTGGCAGAAGAGTCTGCCCCTGGGCATGAGGCGAGTGCTGCCAATTCTGGCTGGAACCCCCGCCCCCACCGCCTCGACGAGCGTGTGGTGAGAGCTGCCAAATCTGGCTGGAACCTCCTGCCCCACCTCGATGAGGATACCGGCGTGCGAAACGCCTGTGAGCATAGGGCCGTGGTCTGGACCGCTGGAAGTTGTTCCCTCGAGAAGCGTGCTGGTTGAACCGTGGCCCCATCCCCATCCCGACTCCAACGCCTCGAGGTGGGCCAGGGCGAGGGCGCCAGGGGCCCGCTCTTCTTGGGCCTAGGCCTGGGCCTGGGCCCCAGGGGCGGTGAGGGAACCACGCGTTGTTGGGCACCCACATCCCCATCTGCTCAGGCGGGAAGACATTTGGTGGGAGTCCTAGCATGGGCAGGACCATGCGGGCTACGGCCTGGACCGCCTCAACAGGGCTGATGGGGATGCCAGACTGGGTTGGCCAAAATTGCTGGGGCATGCCTCCATGTGCAGCGAAAGGGACTTGAGGTCCCTGGTTCATAAAGTTGGGAGAAAGCGTATCACTGGAGGGAACATTTGAATTCCCAAAGCGATCCTCTTGAACAGATAGGCTGTGTGAGGAATCAACGCCATCCTCTCTGCCATCCTCAACAAGCCTTTGGCGGTTTATGTGATAAAGGGAACGTTGTGGTTGAACATTTTTAGGAAGCAAGTCAGCTGTAGGTGGCTTCACAGTCATTTCTGGAAGGTTGTACATGTTAGGGATGATTTCCAATATCTTCCTACGTTCTATATTCCAACTGTACCCTTGGTTACTGCTTGTTTTCTCCTCTAATATCACTGAACTGTCATTGCTGTCGGAACTTGTGAGTTCAGAGCTACCATTACTTGAAGAATCACCAACATCAATTACCTCAATGGAGTTGCTGTGAGCTTCATTAACTTTGCTATCATTTGATGTATCCATTGATGATTCATCAGAAAGATCAACTAATTCAACTTGCTTTTTTTCTGGTACATATTCCAATATTTCTATGTCTTCTTCATCTACCACTTTTGCTTTCTTGCAGACAGACAGCTGGTCAGTTTCATCTGAAGTTGCAGGGCGTTTTAATTGTTGAGAACCCGCTTCTTTTCCAATTTCAGCATTATCATTTGAAGAACAGACCATGATACTACCACTATCGTTTGAATCGGTATTTTGGTCATTTAAATGTTGAAAATGAGCACCATTTTCATTCCCATCAGCATCAATTGATAGACAAACCATGTCACTATTGCTATCGTTTGAATCTGTGCAAACTGGCCCGACATTTGTACTATTTATTGAAAGACTGGGATCAGCAAATGTCTCCATAGTCAGAGAGTCTTCACATCTACTGTCAGCAGCCTCAGAAACACTATTCTCTTTGGGAGATTGAATTTCATCATAATCAGTTTTGTCACTTTCAAGAATATTTTCATGGCCAGAAATTTTTGCTGAGATCTCATTTCCACTATTTGACACATGAGACAAAATAGTGTCGGCAGCAGAAGAAGCAACTGTGGCAAGAGCTTCTTCTGAAACGCCTGAATCAAGTTGTGCACCTAGAATTTTCATTATTTCTGACTGGAGAGTTGCAGCTAGGATTTCAGGTGTATTAGTATTATCACCACTGCTGTTCTCTTCAGTTGGTCTATTACGTACTAGAGCACTACCCATTGACAGCAAGGTTTCGGCTATACCATATGCTTTGGTTCTTAATCCATCGGCACTGGAATTTGCTTTATCTGGTTGCTGACTTTGTTCACTTTTCTCTCCATTGTCACTTATCTCTGCATCTTGCCTCTCTTCCCCTTTGTCAACTGCTGATTGGTCAGCAGCATCAGCAGTAGGCTCTTGGTTTCCACTCTCATCCCAAGTTTCATCATGCTTGTCATTATTTGTAGATTCAATAACATTAGGGTCCTTTGAATTTTCACATATTTTTTGAGGAGAATTATTCATAAGACTTGGCGTTGAGTCTTCCTTATGATTTGTAGGCTGGAGCTGCTCCAATTCCTCACCCTCATTCATCACTGCTGTTCTTGAAACTTCACCATAGATTGCACTTTCTTCAGAGGCACATGGAGTGTCCTCTCGATTAAGTAATGAAAGATTGTTAACTGGCTCTACAGCTGAAGTGTCATGATTTTCAACCTTCATTGTTTCAATTTTCCTTGGTGTGTCGGACCTACTTTTTTTGTCTTTCCCTGTCTGACCTGGGTGGTTGCGTTTAACAGGAGCATGTTGATCAAGCCGTATGGCACGCTCATACCTCGTATGAACTATTTGATTTGTAAATCTTAAAAGTCTATACCCTTGCCGCATAAGATGTGAATATGTTCTATATTCATTTAAATCACACCCTGTGCTGGGTCCTAATAGAAGGGAATATCCTTGTTGAATGCTAACTGAGACTCCTCCAAAATCTAGCTCCAGGCTATTCTGAAAGAGGAGAAAACATAAATCAGTGGAAAAACTTGTTAAACAATGATTAACAGCAACAAAAGACAGAGAAAAAATTACCGTCTCTAACATATACAATGCTTCCTCAGGATACAAATACAGTGTGCCTTCCTTTACAAACCCAAGAGTTTGAAAATGTTTACCAGCTCGCCTTGTTACTTCAGCAAGTTTCTTTTTGTGATTCCATACAGCTCCAGCCAAACAACTCCTAGAAAACCAATTTTTAAAAAATCAGCAAGTGCATAATAAGATAATACGAAAAGGGTTTAAATTAGCCATACCATTTGTCAACGCGTTCTTCATCCAATAATTCTTTGCGCTCATCTAACGCACACTGTATTTGTTTCTTTTCCATCCACGAATTCGTCGGACTGAAGTCTTTGACTCCATCTTTTGGCAAGCTTTTTCCGGTGCTGACATGAATTTGAAGTAGAGAACTTCCACTGAAAAGAAAATGAGACGTGATTGACAGTGAATGTTTGCCACCTACCACCTAGATTTGTAAAGCTACATTGAAGTCATTCAAACAAAAAAAAATCTGCCTATATAGAAGATTAGTTACTAGGAAATTTTACATAATCAACCAATGATTCATATTATTTTTTGTTAAAACACAATGATTGATTCATATCCTCAAACAAGGTTAACTCCATCGGATCACAATTCCAAATCAATTGATGAATGACATTCAGCAAATAAGACTTACGAAAGCAGCTTGGAGGTGTGTGGCAGTTCTTCTGAAGGCTCTTCGACGTTTTTATCGGTAGAATCGTCACTCATATTGAGCCGATCAAATCATCGAACGAACAACAAACACACACAAACAGACAGACTCACCTACACACCAACACACAGACAGTTCAGTTCACAGCCTTAGAAAGACAGAACGTTTCTCTTGTTTCTTCCCTCTCCCCTTCCGTCCCCCTCTCCTCCTCCTCTGCGTAGTGCGTGGGAGTGAGTCAGAAGCGGCGACCGTTTCGTCCGCCCGCCCATGTTTTGTCAATAGCTTTTCAAGAATTGCTCATCAAGCACTATTTATGTCAACATTTTCACAGCCAGAAGTGCGGCGGTCGCCTTTGTCCGTTCTTTTTTGAAAGCAGTGCTCTACGCCGCCCAAGTGGTTGCAGCCTAGCCTAGCCTAGCCTGCCAAGATGTCAACCGCTCTGCTCGCTCTCATCGCCGTCTTTCTCTGCATACTCTTTCGTATCCTCAATGTTAACAGCCACGCCGAAAAGCCAACCTTGTTCTGCAAGGACAGAAACTTTCTCGACACCGTCTCCAAGATCTCATCCGTCGTTTCAGAACCGTAAGTGTCTGGGAGTTCCAGGTTAGCGCCCTTCGCCCATCCCAATTGAATGGCGACCGTAGGTAAATAGGGACATCACCGAAGGTTTACTCTGGGATCCTAAGTAGCCTCGTTTCATTCGCTGTAAACCTTTGTTCTTTTTAAACACAAGTATCCCTCCCCGAAACACTGTCCTTGAGTGTGTCTACCTCCTTTATTGTTTTCATAGAATGTTCTAGTAGAGGCGACACATTTTGTCAAATTATTTTTCTTTTCCTAATGTCTTTAACCTTTTTTATTCTGTGTTTTTATTATTCAGTTATGTACCAACCCGCTTGTGGGGCTTTAGTGGGCATGTCCAAACTGTGGTCCACAGCATTCTTGGGCGTTTGAAGTGCCCTTGGCCTATAGGGGAACGATGTTACCTTTATCTGCCAGACGGCTCCACTCTCACCTATGACTTGTATCAGGCTTTGAACCAAACCTACGAAGGTATGTTCATTATTCTGCTTGTAGTCTTGGTTTTATTTACAATTGTTTATAATATACTTTTCCTTTCAGATGACGTTACTCTGGCTATCTGTCCAGGCATAGGAAACACCTCTGAAAGTGTTTATATTCGGACTTTTGTGCATTATGCACAGTGCCATGGCTACCGTTGTGTTGTTCTGAACCATCTGGGTGCTCTTGGAAGTGTTCCTGTCACTGCACCTAGAGTTTTTACCTATGGTGAGATTTTTCCCATACTGGTGTGATTGTTGATGCTGCTTGTTGTCAAACAATTTACATGTATTTTTGTCACCCTGAATCACAGGTCACACCGATGATTTCCATTCCATGATGTGTAGTTTAGTTACTCGCTATCCTGGAACTGAGGTTGTGGCAGTTGGATTTTCTCTGGGGGGTAATCTTGTCACCAAATACTTTGGAGAGCCTGGAAGAATCTTGCCTGCTAACATCATTGGTGGTATTTCCATCTGCCAAGGATACTGTGCCCTCAAGTTAGTTACATTTACTGAATTGTACTCATTTGTTTTATATGTTTAAAATAATGTGTTTAATTGTAATCTTCCTCTTATGTTCTAGTGGAAGCTCGTATTTGTTGAATTGGCAGAATTTCCGTCGCGTCTACCTGTATGTGATCACTGAGACGATGAAAACCATCATCTTGCGCCACCGGAGTGTCTTGTTGTCAGATCCTGTCAAAAAAGCATTTGGCCTGAATGAAAGAGATATTGTTGCAGCAGCTACTTTACCAGAGCTTGATGAAGCTTACACCAGGTATGTATTAGATAAGCTTGTGTATTTTTCTGTTCAGCTGGACATTTACATGAAATTTTCCTTATTTCAGGAAAATGCACAATTTCAAATCTGTTAGTGAAATGTACCGTTGGAGTAGCTCCAAGTATTACCTCCAAAACATCAAGCTTCCTATGGTATTCATCAATGCCCGTGACGATCCAATTGTGCCAGAAAACATGCTTGAACCGATTCGTGAATTTGCCTGTAAGTGGACAGATACTGTATTTATATGTTGCTCTGTTTTATTTATTTTTTTTCTTCCTACCTTTACTTGAATAAGAAAAACAACTTACTGTTGCAGCTAACCATCCTAAAATTCTTCATGTTGAAACTGCCCATGGAGGTCACCTTGGCTTCTACGAAGGAGGCTTCATTCGCGCTAATCCCGTCACTTGGCTGGATCGCACAGTTGTGAGCCTGATTGGCTCCCTAGTCTTTGCCCACTCGGAGAGCAAGCTCAAGTTCACTGCTGGTGCTCACTAAAAGGGACCTTCTGTCTAACATTGGAATGTAGCAATTTTAATTTTAGCTTAATTCTGTTGCTTCTCATGTGGGGGGGAAATGTTTTGATCGGTTGGCTTCTTTTTAAAGTGGTGTTACTGTACTGCATTGTTTGCATTTAATTGGGTTTTATGGTTAACATTAGGCAATCCCACAGCTTATTCTTTTAAATATTTTATTATTTATGCTTTTTTACTATTTATCTTGCATAGAAATGTGTCAATGATGCAATTCATTCCATTGTAGCCATTCACGCTCACATTATTTTCTGGCTGTGCTCAGTCAACCATCCCAACATTTTCCAAAATGCTTTGTCATGTTTTTTGTTGGTGATCTCATCTACTTCCCTCAAAGCATTTATTTTAATTTCGACTGTGTAATATTATTTGGGCCAATAATACATTTGTCTTTAGAAAATTTCAAGCTATAATTTAATGTGAATGTGTTATAAGATAATTTATTTTTATATCATTGTAATAATTCAAAATTCTGAACTCCTAAAAATCTCAGTTTGGCTGGATTTAGGGTTTTGAATATCATGCTGCTGTGACTGATGTCATTCTTATCATTCTTTTATCGAAATATTTGTCTTCTGTCAAGATGCTCATTATGTCATCATGATTGATTCTGCTCTCATATAACTGTATGACTTTGTTTACTTGCAACTTTAATGAAAACTCAGCAGACATGTAGGGCCATCAATATATTATGGACTCTCTTCATCTCTCATTTGTACAGTAACAACTATGAATTTGATTTATAGCATTTGTCCCTCCTGCTTTTATGTGATACATCGTTTTTCATGCAATTTCTTAATTTGCTTGAATCTATTTTTACCTTTGTTTAGATCCTATCAAAAGAGATCTTAAAGGTTGTGCAATTGTGTGAGTGTGTATTTGTATGAATGTGAGCGTTTGTGGGGGTGTGAAATCTAAGACATCTAGTTTATTAAATCGTGCTGGTGAGTCTGGGTGAATCCTGTCATTCGGTAGTTAAAAAACATCGAAGGAATGCCGTTACCTCGTGTGTTTGTGGACACAAGAGGGCTGCTGACCGTGAGACTTATGCCTATGATTAATTTAGGACTTGTCAACAGGGTTGTAGGGAAGATCAACTCCCATTGGGATGCAGCAAATATTGTAATTCGTCCTCTTGGGTAGCTTTATGCTGAGAGAAGTTTGTGATACTAGGGTCTTGAATTTTGCCAGAATGTCTCCCTAATGCTATTTCATTTAATAACTGAATTCCCACTGGGAGGAGGTTTACTTGCTGTCACGTTGTTCATCTAAGGTATAACCACAAACACTTCTAGACGGAACAAGGATAATAATTTGAAAAAAAAAAAGAGGTGTACTTAATTATGTGAGTTATCTAAATGGTTACAAACTATGCATAAAATTATTTGCCTGTGGGCATGAATGAATGATTGTGTATGTTAACTTTCAGTGGTTTGTGGGATTCAGCCTGTTATTTTGGTAACTCTGCTGAAAAAATTTTTCCTCTCACTTAATTGCTGTGTTTGTTGCCTCATTCCGAATTAATTGGTTTGGCACATCAAATTTGCAATGTCCACCAGTCTTACCGATTCCATCTCTGAAAACAAATTTGGTAGGCATAGCAACACTACAAAGGTAGTTTTCCTCCGCATTCTTGGCAGTATTGTGATATTATTTCTTTCAGAATTCATCTTCTGAAAGCCATATTAAGAAAGGTTTTAGGTTTAACTATATATTGTTCACTGAATATTTAATAGATTAAATTAAAGAAAATACCTTGTGAAGTTGCTCCTGAAGTGGAGCAAAACTAGTTCAAGACAATGTATCTTTTTAAATAGGACCCCTGTTACATAAAACTGAATCCCCTCTTAAATTTAATGTTATTCTACTTCTATCCTTTTGTTTCTTTGCTCTGCTGTGAAATGATTGTGGTGTGTAGCATCATATCCAACCATCTCAAGATGGTCTCTATTAGCTCAGAATTTGTTCTAAAATTATTTATTTTAGTCTGGTATTTTGTCTTTGTTTTCCTGATTCTGGCTAGCATTTGTCATCTTTAAATTAAATTTCGTGTGTGGAAATTTTTTATATCTATTTGTTTGGTTGAAAATTAGTATAGGTGTTTAATCAAATTTCAGGAAATTGGGGGTTAGATAAGTTTCAGATTGTAAGCATCCTGCTTACATCTTTTGCCAGTTACATTCAACTACTTGCTTGAGATTAATGCCAAAATAACTGCATTTCTAGTCTGAAGATTTATTTATACAGCAATGTTGTGTAGAAAACTTAAGTTTATTGAAAATATGAATACAACTGTATCTAGTTATCCTCTTAAAATGTACTGTACTCTGGTATAATATTTCCATTGTTTGACAATTCCTTTTATTGATGTTCTCTCAAATCTCTTAGTCTGTATTGTTATGACATGGTCAAAAGACATTTTTATCATTGTTGTTGAAGTCACAAGGGGACATGGTAGATGCCTTTGCTATTTGTTGCACAAAAATGTCCGTTAACATAATTTCGGTTTGAAGTTGTGACACGGTCGCTTTGGAACGAGAACGGCGTCCTCGTCCCTTGCCGCGATTCCCATCCCTTTAATTTCACTTTGGAGTGAACGTGTTCATTGGGTGGAGTAATTGGAGCACTATCATTTTAATTTGTTTGACTGGTTGCTTAAAGGTGCAATGTAATTTATGCAATGTCTTGACTTGCAGCCAGTTGTGTGTGCCAAATTCTTGCTTTAAGTGCTTGCAATGTCCATTTTCATGATATGATGTGCTCTTAATCAATATTCTCCAGCAATCTGTCGTCTACCAAGTCCTGTGTCCTGTATTGTTTTCTGCTCAAACCTTCTATTGTTTTTTTTTTTGTTTTTTCTTAATGAATTTAGAGAATTTTCTCTTTGTATTTTTATCTGGAATCTATTCCAGGACTTTTCAAGGAAGAAGAAAGTCTAATCTCTGGAATTCCTTTCTTGGGTTGCATGTACAAATGGTGTCCTCAATGTTGTTTTTGAGATTTCTAAAAATCTGGTAAATACTTAACATGTTTTTTACAATGTGGGGAAAATGTGATTGTAAACTTGACACTTAAAGTGTGCAAGTTCTACTGATTGTACATTTAAAAAATTAATAAACCATCTTCTGCATTTATATTTTGTTTGGTTCAGTGCTTCCCTTCTCTTCCCATTTTAGCATGGTATTCAGAATCTGATCTAAACGACCAGTTACATCCTAAATTTAATTGGCTCTAGATAAGTCGTTCCTTGAGGCAAGTAAAATATTAGATATAAAAAAAAAGTATAAGTCAACAAAATGAAAATCACAACAAACGCTTCGTGAACAGAGGGAAACGAAAGGAACACAAGTCGTAAACGGGGTGAATCTTGAAATTTGATCTGTGCGTACATCGTGCTCTACGCGTTCGAAATCCTAGTGCGAACGAGACCTGGGGACCTGGGCTCAGACTCAGACGCAGAGGCCGTAGTAGCAGTACGACTCCGGGCCGCAGCCGCTACAGGCTTCCCCGGCGCGGTACATCCAGTCCCCGATGACGTTCCCCGAGGGGCCGTAGTTGCACACGTACAGCCGCGTGTACCAGCGCCGGCCGGCCGCCAGCTCGGTGTACTCCGACACGCCGCAGCCCATGAGGAAGGAGCTCGCCCAGGCCAGCTGCGTGAAGTGCCCCGTCACGGCGGAGAACCTGGAGGCAAACGCGGCGAGTGGACTGGTTCCGAGTGTCGTTTTCGTCGCTGTCTCTATCGCCCCATGAGTGCGAGGGTGACAGCGACGTAAACGACTTTCGGAATGAGTCTGGTGGCAAAAAAACTCCAAAGGGTTTGCTTCCTTTGCGAAGGGAAGAAGTTGGAAGGGAAGAGGGTACCTGTAAGGGTACAGCGTCTGGCGCCCGCTGTGCTTGGCCACCTCATCGAACCACTTGTTGGTGACGGCCTCCCAGTCGGGCCGCTTCAGGGGACGGCTCGTGCGCTCCAGGTAGATGTTCTGACCCACCGGGAAGCGCTCTGCGAAGCGGAGAAGGGAGGCTGGCTGTTTCCGAGCTGCGCTGTCCTTCTCTGTCGCTCTCGCACTCATGGCACTTCCATCGGGTGGCGAGAGCGACACAGCCATGCAGTGCGCAACCTTACTTACCGACGCTCCGGCACGTGTCGTGCTTGAACTGGCACTGGTCGGCCCAGCGCTGCGCCACGGCCGCGAGCTCGTCGTCGTACCACTGCAGGGCAGCGAAGACCACCGCCAATCAGAGACGCAAGGTCGCCAACAACTCTAGGCGCCACAAGACGAAGCGCAATGACACACTCACCATGAGCCTCATGTCGGCGGCGGGTGGCTGTGGTCCCGGGCCTCCGCGGTACTCCTCGCCGGTCGCCAGGACCCACCTCATGGTGTTGTGGGCCGCCACGACGGTGTCCTGGTCCTCGCGACTCAGCGGCCGCGACACGGACGAGCTGCCCGCGCGGCACGCCTGGCCCTGGCTCTGCGAGGGGCAAGGAACGCGTTGGCGCGGGGGACTACGGTGTAGCTGCAGACTGATTCCAAAATCCGAACAGCGTTTCGCCGCCCTGTCGCTCTCGCACCCCAAGGGACGCCCCAAGCGTGCGAAAGAGACAGCGACGACGGAGATGAGCGGGATCAGTCGCTGCAGACACGTACGTAGTAGCGGCACAAGGTGTGGTCTCCGCACAGGTTGCAGTAGTTGTAGAAGCCCTTGGCCTGCAGGGCCTGGCCAAGGGCCTGGCTGGACGCGTTCGGCCGCCGGCTGCCGAGGCTGCGGAAGTCCGGCGGCTGTCGCGCGCCGCCCGCGCCGCCGTGGACCAGGACGAGGACGACGACGGCGGCGGCCCGCAGCGTCACGGCGAGGACTTCCCTACGGGCACGACGGAGGGGTGAGGCCGGCGAAGAACGCGGCGTCCACTCACCGTGTTGCACCTCGGTGGCCGCCCCAAGGGCTGCCCCAAGGGCTGCCCCGCCCGCCGCGCCCCCAGCCCCCAGGGCTCGCAGTCCGGAGTCCAGGTGCATGCAGGCTGCAGCCAGGAGTCCAACCAGCCCCTCAAACCTCTCACACTTACGCTCTCCGGGGAAGTCACGACACGGCACCCACACTACATGTGAGTCCGCACGGAGCATGGCCCTCTGTACCTGTGCGGCCTGTGCTGGCGGACACCCATTCCCGGACCAGGCGAAGCAGACTCTCGGCGCGGCGGAGGCGAATGGGGGCCGCGGTGCCCGTGGCGTTCGCGCGTTCGCGTCGCGGCTGCAGTCAGGCGCGAGTGCCTTCTTGGCGCCTCCAGCCGGAGCTAGGTCCAGGGCCGGGGGACAGGCAGGGCGACGCAGGGCGACACGCGCACTGCGCCACGCCGCCAGGGCGGCACGCCTATCACAGGGCCTCGTCCTTAATACCTGCGACCTGTCCTGGCGGGGCTGCCGTGCCCTGGGCTGCCCTGGCTGCCCTCCCGAGCCCAGTACGTAGTCTGGTTCCAATCAGGGCGCCGTCGCGCCGCGCTGTCTCTCTCGCACCCCTCCGCGACGCCTCATGAGTGCGAGAGAGACACAGCGACGAAGGCACGGTGCGGAATCAGTCTGACAGACTGACGCGCACTTCATATCCGGCTCACGTTCGCGGAAGGGCCGCGGAAGGGCCGCGGGAGGGGAGGGGGAGGGGAGGGAGAGGGGGAAGGATCAGCGCCCGCATGCAGCGCGCCATCCGGCTCAGCGGCCTGCAGGGCCTGCAGAAGGCGAGGAGGGCTCGCGGCTCGCGCAGACTGACAGCGCTGGCACCGACAGACCAATAGGGCGGCACACTGTAAGGAAGGAGGCCTGCCTCTCAGTTAACCCATCCACTAGGGAAAATGCTGGGCGGAAATATTAAATACAAACATTGAATCGAAATAAAGAATGAGTGGAAACGCCTCTACAGTCTCGGTCAACACAGCTGAGGAGGAGATGCGAGCGATGCGCCGGTTTTGAGCTGCAATTAGGTAGGAACCATTCGAAGAATCTAAGGAAATGTTTCCACTTGCAGTCGATAGATGACATTCGAGTGCAGATTGGGTGCAGCCCCGAAGCCAGATGCCGGGCCTTCGACGGCCTCCTCGCCCTCCTCGCCCTGGCTGTGTAGGCTGGTCGGGGTGTGGTCGGGGTGGGGGAAAGGGGGGCAGGCGATAAGGCTCTCGTTGTAGTCGCGGCGGCGCAGTGCGGCGCGGCGCGTGGGCCGCCTCCTCGCCGTCTTCGCCTCCGCCATGATCCTCCGCGCCGACGGGGCCGACGGCGTGCTCGCCGAGGTGCTCGCGGCCGCGCCGTGACGCCTATGTCACCGCTGCCATGGCTGTGGCTGTGGGCCCTCACCGCGCACGCCGCGCACGCCGCCAACTACTGCAGCATCTGTCCGGAGCACACCATGTGCATCTACAAGGTGCGGCAGCCGCTGCTCGCGACGTGGGAGGCGGGTTCGAACACCAGCCACTCGATCGGTTTGGGCCGTTTGCTCGCAGAGTTCGGGGGGCCCCGCGTCGCGGTGCCACGGCCTGTTCTCACGCGACTTGACGCCCGACGAGGCGCAGGCCGCGCTGCACACGCACAACGCCGTGCGCAACAAGGTGGCCGCCGGCGAGGAGCGGCGCGGCCGGTTCGGCCAGCCGCAGCCCCCCGCCGCCAACATGCACCGCCTGGTAAGGACCGCGCCAGTGCCGGCGTCGCCCCGAGCAGGCCCGAGCCGAGGGCAGTGAGGCAATGAGGGAATCCTGCGATGTCATTTGACTGGCCTTCCGCACTCCGCAGCACTGGGATGAAGAGCTGGCGGCGTTTGCGCGGCGCTGGGCGTCGCAGTGCGTCTTTGACCAGGACACCTGCCGAACCAGCGGTAAGCATCGAGCCTCCGGGGGAATCGTCGAACATTTCAACACTTTCCCGGTCGACTTTTCCTGCCCCTGGCAGCCGACGGTACCCCGGTCGGCCAGAACATCTACATGCAGGTGCTGCCCCTCGGCCACGCGCAGCACTCCACCGTCAGCACGGCCATGGCGGTGCACAAGTGGCTCGACGAGGTCAACGAGCACGACGGCCACCTCAGCAGCGCGCCCTACACGTGAGTAAAGCCGTTTTGAAACCGACGCCGTTGCCGGGAGTCGAACCGCTGACGTTCTGACGGCGCGGCGCTGCAGGTACCACGTCCCCACGTGGCACTACACCAACCTGGTGTGGGGCCGGTCGACGCGCCTCGGCTGCGGCTTCGCGGACTACATCGCGGCCGGCGGCCTGAACGCGCGCCTCATCGTCTGCAACTACAAGGAGGGCGGCAACGTGGTGGGCAGCCCAACGTACTTGACGGGTAGGCCGGCGACGCAGTGCGGCGGGGTGCCCTCCCACACCCCCGGGACAGCTGCGCCGGCTGACGCCGTGGTCGCGGACGGCGCGGAGTACGCGGCCACGACAACCTCGTGGTGGCAGGTGTTCCCGTGGCTGCCCACTCCACACGACGACGAGGTGAACAGGCTACTATGTACTGTATTTAATAAATTTAAGAATGTGGTACTGACTGAAGTAGCCCAGCTCTTCCAGATTCTGTAGATACATTGTTCTTGTTACAAAAGAATATATAATGCAAAGATTTGTACCAAAGTGATTCACTGACCCTGTCCTCATCTCCATCTCATCATCATCAACGCTGTTAGGCCTCTATAGCAGAGCTCTCAAAAAGCGGCCTCTGAGGCCGGCCCACGGTGTAGAGAGACTCTCTACACCGTGGGCCGGCCGAACAGGCCGCGGTGCGGCCTCAGCACGCAGGGGACAGGCCGCTGGGACGGCTCGGTCGCGGCCTCGTCCAGACCGACCGCTGCGGCCTGCTGCAGGCCGCGCGTCGGCCTGACGAGGCCGGCTGCCGGCAGCCAATAGGGTTCACGGATGCGACCGAGGGAGCCGGGAGGTGGCCGAGACGTGGCGCCCTCACATCATGCGGACAAGTCCGGCACTGTCCGTTCAGGCGCAGGGTTGCTCGCCAGCGGCCTGCCGCAGGCCGCGTGCGGCCTCGGCGGCCGGCCTGGGGAGCCGTTTTTTGAGAGCTCTGCTCTATAGACCTTTAGCGGTTCGAGTCAGCAAGTCACTCCGGCATCTAGCAAGCCGATTTAAAGCCACATTGTGGGGCGTAATTACATGGGTCGAAAGGGAGGGGAGTGGGAAAGGTGGCCACCTTCAAGGAGCGAGGCAATTCTCTGCAAAGACGTGTCGAAGGGGTGGCCTAGCTTCCCGGCGCTGTGCAACAATAGGGAGAAATTAGAAGGAAATGGTGGCTGCATGAGAAACGACGGGAATCGCATATTTAATTCCGATCGATTCTGTCAGGCATCCTGTCCGTGATACTGAGTAGCGCGATCAATCAACAGGATGAGTTTTCTCAAATGTGTCAATACTTTGTAGGCAGCTTGGGCATCCCCTGGAGATCATTTTTCACCGATGAACTAGTGGGTGCAAACGTCTAGATACCGAAATAATTTGTGTTTTGAAATTGGCCTTCCCACCTGCGAGGTAGGCACCGGCTGCCACTGAGGGTCGCAAGACCTCACGAGGGGCAGAGCGCTACCCGAAGTAGAGCTCTAATAAGGGGTGGGTGTTTTCTTCGAGCGGGGGTTCTCGGAATTGGCATTTAAATTTTACACTCTTAAAAATTGCAATTTCTTCAAACTGGCTCAAAGTGGTCATTTTTTGTCCGATTTTCATGCGTTGCAGAGGTTGCAGAGCTTCCCAGCGAAAACCATGAGCCCGCTCTTGAGTGGGATACCAAAAACTGTGCATGATGTTTGTACCCACGCATAACAAACCGTCGCAACTGCCATGAAATTTTCTTTAACTATACTAAACAAAAGGGGCTTAAAATTAACAATCTAAAATAATATGCAACTTTAATTATATGTTGTTTCTGAATCATAAGCAAGCGCAAGTGACGTGTGACGTCGAAGAGATTCGAAGTCTGACATGAAATAATTGCCATATGTCTCGATTAGCGAGCTGGCGACGATGCTACGATGACTCCGATGCTCGTACAGACGCATTCCACATGTTGCAGGCCACCACGAAATCTCGTTCGTAAGGCCCTTAGCCATCGTCCCAGTAGTTTTCAGGCATGACTTTGTCACATGAACGGCAAAGCACTTGGCAGTTGGGCAGAACTTGCCGCACGGAAAAAAATAATTTCGCTATTGTAGCGAACATCTGTTCGCTAGAGCAAAATTTGCTGGAATGACAAACAAATTCGCTATTCCAGTGCTTTTGGCACGCCGATGTAGCAAACTTCCACTTGCTGTTTTACCGATAATTTATTACCTATTATCCAACGAACATTTTCGCTGGAGAAGCGAACAATGTGCGCTAACTTTTGAATGCTGTTCGAGCGATTACCTTTTGCGTGCCATCCAACAAACATTTCTGCTGGACAAGCGAACAATATTCGCTACATTAGTAATCTGTGTGTTCTCTATATAGCGAGGCTTTCCAAGCCAAGAGAAGACCTCTGGCCTCTTCTCCTCGGGTGGCCCGGTGGTCTCGTGGCAAAGCCTCTGAGTGCCAACAAGGAGTTCGAGGGTTCGATCCCGGCCAGAATAGGTCAAGGTTCACCATCAGAACTCTGATTACGAGATCGCCGACATTCCGGATTGTCTTTTTGAAAGTTGCCAACATACTTACGGTCATTATGTCAGCGACATATTCCGCTCGGAAATCCCGTTGGACCTGGTTCGCCACCAGCCAGGTCAGGTTACCAACCCTTTATGATTGCCCCTACTCCGCTCTCCTTCGGGGAGGGGGGGTAGGGGGGGGTGGGTGGGGGCCGACGACGGCGGGAACTCTTTTGCATCTTAGAGGGGAATGCGCGCCCTCACATCGCATAGAGCCGCGCCGCCACCCATTAGACACGCGCGACGGCATTAGCAGTGTATTCGCCGTTGTTGTTACTGGTGTTACCGGGTTCAAGGTTCAACTGAGAAAAACATTTCCACACCTGGGATTTGAACCAGTTTCTTCTCTCGGGGCGGCCGCTACCTCTGCGCCCTGAGCCACCTAATCACACGGTCCGCTCTCACCCAAACTGATACCCGTGGTTACCTGGTTCTTCTGGTTCGACTCAGCTTCCACAAGTGGTAAACTGATGACAACATACAATTGTCTGGGATTCGAACCCAGACGACATAATTGTTTCTTTGTTGTTTGTGTCATGCGCTCTTGCCCGCTATACAGTCAAGTGACGTGCCTAAACTCAGAAAAATAAACAAGCGCCTCTCCGCCGGGATAAAGTGCCACCTTAGTAAGGAAGGCCATGTCTCGTTTTGCAGTGCAGGCGGGCTCTAGCCCTTAATGGTAATGTTAATGGTCCCGTAGAGCATGCGAGTACGCGGGGTTGCCTAACCTCCCGTGGTCGGGCGCTCTGAGACGACTCGACCCGACGCTCGCAGGCGACTCGCAGGCGCACAGTGGGCCAGAAGGCCGGTGGACGCGGCCAAAATTCTAGACGGGTTTCGACGTCAGAGTCGCTAAATGGGACTCGAACAAAGCGTGTGACCCCACCAATGGATTGCTCTCCGAAAGAGGAATCCATTGGTGGGGTCACACGTTCGGTTCGAATTTAACGAAGAAGCTTCGGAGCTCTGCGACTCTATATTTGACAGCGTACCGCTGTCTAAACTGTGTTCAACCTCGGGGTTTAAAAAAAAAGTCCAAAAATAGTGCCAAAGACAATTTTATTGCAAACATTTTTTTGGCACAAATGAAGTTGAATCGCAATGCGTTCGACATTGGGTCTGAAGACCGATGCAGGCGACCGAAACTCTGAACGCGTTTAGAGCTCAAGAGTCACTTAACAGGACTCGAACCGAGCCACTGACCCCACCACCGGATTGCCCGCCCAACGAGCAATCCATTGGTGGGGTCACACGTTCGGTTCGAGTCCCATTTAGCGACTCTGGAGTTCAAAACGCGTCCGGGATTTTGTCTGCCTCCACTGTGCGTTCCAGGCATGCAAACCGCGAGGCAAGCCCGCGCTCAGAACCAAAATTCCAGCTCCGGGTACCTCTCGTAGGCGAGTATTCATCTTGGAGAGCACTTGTGTGAAAGGTGCCCTGCGAGAGGCTAGGAGGTGCCGAACCGAACGGAGACCCGAAGCCGAAGGCAAGCCGAAGGCCCCGACTCGGCCCGAAGCCAAAGCCGAAGGTGCCATATGAATTTCAATTATTCTGATCATGCAACTAAAGTCACTAAGTCACTCATATTGCTTGGGGAAAAGAAGAAAGGATGGCCACAAACTCAAAACTAATTTTGGAAAAATATTTTAAAAATATACGATGGGGAAAAATTGCCATAAGTCAACAAAAATGGTGACATTTACTGGCCTCATATTTCTTTTTTTGTTCCAAAATGTGAACAAGTGCATCATTTTCGCTTCTCAATTCTGTTGACAACTATCTAAGAAACTTCGGAAGAAAAAGAGAGATAAATTATCAGGCCGAAGACTAGACCTGACCATAACTGTTGCGCGGAATCTCTTAAACTAATCGATGAGAGATTACGACAACTGGAAGCTTACAACTTTCTTTAAATTTTGTTTGTGCATGTTAGATGTTCTACAATACATTAGTCATATTCGCAACTTCTTTAGTACAGGATTCAATGGACAACTAATACGAATTGTTTTTATTTTGTGTTAATAGCTGTTTTTCTCCCACACCTCACCTTGAGCTATCATTCCATTTTAGCGTTAAGCTAAAATGTCTCTTGTGACTGACTTTTTGACCTCAAGGTCTGGTCCGAAGAATTTTAAGTCTCTGCGTCTCTGCAAACTTTCGGCACTTGCATTGACGGAGTCTTGTTTTAGCAAGTTTGAGAAAAAAATTGGTTCGACTAATTTAAAAAAGCTAAACAAAAATATTCTGTTCTATCTTTTAATTTTTATCCAAATATTTAAAAAGGTTTGGAAAATAAGTTGAGTAATACAGTTCACATAATTCACTTGATGCAAGAGTTGTTTGTTGTTTTCTTTTTCCAACATATTGTCAAATTGTTAAAAAAACACTTATGCGGCCCCATTTTATAAAATGCCCATGGTAACATTGTTTTTACCTCTAGAGTTAAAGAAATACATAAAATGAGCAAACACCACGACTTCGGGTTCGGTCAGTCGTTTCGGCCAGTTCGGGTCCTCCCGCGCTCGCTCGGGTTACGCTCGGGTCCCGAACCATCTAGCCTCGCGCAGTGCCTTTCACACAAGTGCTCTCCAAGATAAATACTCGCCTCTCGTAGACCGTCTGGACCGGCTCGCTGTCCAGCCACTCGTCCTCGTCGTCCTTGAGCCAGACCTCGAGCTTGGTGAGCGCCGGCACCACCTTGCCGTCCAGGGCGCGCAGGAAGGCGTCCGAGGGCTTGCAGTTGACGTCCAGGCTGGTGAGGAGCGGCAGGCGGTGCAGGACGGCGGCCAGTGGCGGAAGCACCGGCGGGGGCACGTCGCTGTCGGCCAGGACGAAGGCGAGGCTGCGCAGCGACGTGGGCGCCGCGTCCGCGCCCAGGCACAGCACCAGGTTCACGGCCTCGGCGGCCGGGTTCTTCTCCTGGTTGTAGTCCAGCGTCAGCTCCTCCAGGCGCGTCGCCGCCCTGCGCACCAGCTCCTCCGCCTCGGACATCAGCGGCCGCGTCCACGCGTTGAGGTCCAGGATGAGGGCCAGCTTCTTGAGGCTGGGGCACTGCAGCAGCGCCAGCATGCCCTTCAGCAGCGGGCACTTGAGGGTGTGGAGCGCGGGCAGCGCGGACAGCAGGGTCGCCGCGCGCGGAGTGTCCCCCATGATGCACACGTCCTGGCAGACAGAGGGGACAGTCAGTCAGTGCACATCGAGCTACTGCCAGTGCACAGTGGGCCAGAAGACCGGTGTGGGCGGCCGAAACTCTAGACGCGTCTTGAGCTCCAGAGCCGCTAAATGGGACTCGAACCGAACGTGTGACCCCACCAATGGATTCCTCGTTCGGAGAGCAATCCATTGGTGGGGTCACACGTTCGGTTCGAGTCCCATTTAGCGACTCTGGAGCTCAAAACGTGTCTAGAGTTTTGGCCGCCTCCACCGGTCTTCTGGCCCACTGTGCAGTGCTCTCCCGAGTAAGTCAACGCACCTCCAGTGTGGCCGCATGCCACTGCAGGATGAGGTGCAGGTGTTAGTCCAGGATGCTGTTGTAGTAATCGAATCGCACCCGACGAAGCGACGCCGGCATGGACATGGACATGGAGGCACTGCCTTTCGTCAGGAGGGGAGGCGCCGGCAGCGGCACGTTCACGCCGTCGTACGGGTTGCCGGCCACGTCCATCGCCTCCAGTCCTGGACAAAGACGGGCGAGGGGTGAGCCACTGTAAAATTTGGCGTACAATGATTGTGTGAATGTGCAAGAATGTGTAAGATATCTGGCGTTTTCGCCACACATGTTGCCTACTTACAGGCGATTTTGCCACCTGAATGTGGAATGTGGTCAAATTTTGTACAATGAATGTGGGAAGGTGTTCCCCCCTCGAAGACGGGTCAGTATAAATCAGTGCATCGCCTAAGAATGCTATAGGAGATTTTTCCAAGCTAACGCGTGTTGACCGGACCTTCGTGAGATCTTTCACAACGGGCCAGAAGACCGGTGGAGGCGGCAAAATTCTAGACGCTCCACCGTCGCTAAATGGGACCCAAAACGAACGTGTGACCCCACCAATGGATTGCTCTCCGAACGAGGAATCCATTGGTGGGGTCTGGGGTCACCCGTTCGGTTCGAGTCCTGTTTAGCGCCTCTGGAGCTCAACACGCGTCCCGAATTTTGGTCGCCTCCAGCCCACTAAGCGTTTTCTAGGAGCCTGCGTTACCTGCAACGGATTTCGCGACTCACCAGGAGTGAACAGCAATTGGTCCAGCAACGCGCACAGTCGCTGTTTCCAAAGATGATGCCATTTTCAGTTGATGCAACCTTAACATTGGCCTTTATATTGCAGAAGTCTTTGGGTGCCAGAACAACAGGTTGCGGTCTGTCAACCAACTTAAGATCACCCAGAGTAGCAAGTTCCAAAGTACAATTTTGCAAAGTCGAGCCTGCAGCATAATTTAAAAATTACATTATTAATAACTTTTAATGGCTATAGAAGAGAGCAGGCAATGACAATGGATAAATTATAATACCAGTTTGATTCACGATAAGGACATCCAGGACTATATCATATTGGTTGACATGAACATAGGCTTCAGCATAAACTGGGTCTGAAAATCCTGTGAGCTGGGTAACCTTGTTGAGTTTTGTGGCACCGCTCATTCCCATTTCCTTGCTGTTTCCTTGAGTACCAAAGAAAGATAGATTAAGAAAGTGATGTATGATTTCTTAGCGGCCACTTGGTTACTACTATTATTATGAACTAACCATCTCTTCTAGATCCTGCCAAAGCCTGGCTCAAACTCAGTTCAAAGACATTTTCCGTAGCTTGGTCACCACGCTGGGAGGACAGTTGAAGGAAGCTAATAGGATCATCAGCCTGCACTGCATTCCCTGGCTTTTCCTTTGCCTGTGTTGAAAATAAACAGGATAAAATTTGCCTGTTGAATACTTTTATTTATAAGAATTATCAGACAGAAACAAACCTTGATAATAGAGGCTTCCTCTTCTGCCTTGGCTGAAAGCATGATGGACAATGCATTCCGGCAATGCTGATTGAAAATAGTAATTATCTCAGGAGAACGGTCTGATAAGACATGGAGGCATAAAAAGAGGCGATCAGCATCATCATTCGTAATTGGTTTGGTTGGAAGGCCTGAAATAGAAAAGAAAAACGATGTTGACAAAGACAGTTTTAAAAGACTGGTAAAATGAGCGCTTGAGGACTTCCTGCCCACCTGATTTGCCTAAGTGCAGGACAGACGTAATAATCAACATGGCTTCAGCACAGAAACGATTCTGTCTAACTGGGTCAGACACAAGGGTGAGATACCGCAGTGCTAATTTTGCAAGTGTTGTACCCAAAGCAGCTCCCATGAAGAAATCACCATCCATTAAATACTGACGCAATGGCGGCCGGGCCTCAGTTTTTTTCATATTTCTGAGGAAACAAAATTCATAGTGAAGAGAGAGATTTCAATGGGAAAAGATAATACAGCAGAAGGGTGTAGATTATACTAACACAGATGCGCTGAAGGCTGATTGAGTGGCATATGTTCCATCTGAGGTCACTAACTTCTGAACAGTGGCCACACTACCTGTGTTAACATCATCATCAGTTTTCTCACCGGACGCTCTCTTGAGTTCATCTTCAACAAGTGGCAGCTGCAAAAAACAAGACTTGTGTTAGACTTTTGTCCATTTCATGTGATTTAAAAAAAGCTTTACCACTGCAGATAAGGGTCTCAACAACAAGTTGACTATGCTCACCTCTCCAAGAGTCTGTCTGACTTGTGACATGACAGTTTGAATGTCATCAGCTGAAACTGCATATTCTCCAAGGATCCACAGGGCAGCACGATGAACTTTTACTGACTTGATGCTTGAAAATGCATCAAGAAGCCGCTGAAAATAACACATAAGACAATTTCATAAAGAGGTAAAAATTTTGACAGAAAGGATAACACACATGTTTTCACTCCATACCTCAATAATAAGTGGCCTGAGATGATCAAACTTTTGAATTGCCTCTCGGACAAACACCAAAACATCAGAGGCTGCCAGTTCATTGGTGTCAGATAAGAACTCAAGAAGAACTGGGATGACAGTTGCAGCAACATCAGGGAACTGTCACAGAAACTCCAAATGTGTGAGAGAAGTGTGCAAGATCAGCTTGCACCTTAATAATGGGCAGGCAGGAAAGTGACTAACCTTGATGCAACACGAATGTAAAGTGCGTACAAGCAGCTGCCTGTATTTGCCAGTGTCTTCATGCTCAACTAAACTATGAGTCTTGGAGACTTCTTTCTTAAGAACCAAAATCATTTCTTCAATGTTGCGTGAAGACACCAGTTCCAAAGCTATGGAAAACATCATAACATAATGAAAGAGCAACATAGACAGATTTTCAAAATCACATTCAAAGAAGAATCTGTGCCTACACTAACCTAGGGATAGAGTCTTTCGTCTAACTTCAATATCTGGACTTGCAAGGACTCGAAGAATATCCATCACCAGGTCTTGTAAAACTCTTTCATGTGTGGGGTGCTCCTTTAATGCAATCAGTCGGTCCAGCACTATCAACTTTACATTGTTGTCGCTCTCTTTGATAATGAGATCAATGTAACATGATGCAGCAGCCTAGGAAAAGTAAACACCAGAATAAAGTCCTGCTAAAACCAACAATAGAATTGCACACAGTAAAATAGGGAAACCAGTAATTAAATAATACCTTGATGGCAGTTGGAGCACTAGACAAGGTAACAAGAGTTCCCGCAGCTTCATAACGTACAGCGGCACTTGTGGAGTTCAGGAGGTTGTAGATACAGCGAATGAAACGAGACCTCTCAGAAGGATTGGCATGGCACACCTGCAACCAGAAGGTGACAACCATACTATCTACAGAAGAATGGAAACCGCAGGAATTCAAACGATCAAAATGCTAGAGCAAAGATTTTACCTTGTAAATAAGTTCAACGATGACCAACTGTAAGATATCTCCAAATGATGACACTTGATCAAGACATGAGGCAAGATAAGAAAGAGCACGATCTTGGTCTGCATGCAGCAACATAAGGAATGCATTCCTCTTGCATGACATGTCCTGTTCAATGTCAAGGAAGTTTGCAACAAGTTCTGGTGCATCAGGGATGAGGAACTCAAAATTCCTAACATGGAAAAAAACTGTTAGAACTCAAACCCAAGGAAATTAAACATGAAATTACGTTTTAAATCTAAATTTTGAACTGATCGGATTCAAGCAGAACCCTCCAGGGAAGAAGCACATTAGCTCACTTGAAAATGGTGAAGATGGCAAGAACAGCATTCCGTCTAACATAAGAGTGTCTGTGCTCTAAACAAGCTCTAATTGCTGGCATTATAGGTTCCAAAAGTTCAGGCTCTTTCAGTTTGCAAAGGAATCGCAGGGTTGATCCCCGCACAAATTCGTTTGGATGTTGAAGATCCTACAAAAGTTTGAAAAAAAAATAAACAAACAAAAATAGCGACAAAAACATTTAAATACCCAGAGTATGGCTGTATACTAGAGCTCAAATTGGCATGAAACATACCTTACGGTAAGCATCACACACAAGAATCATCTCATGGAGTAGTTTTCCATCAGGTGTTGTTTTGGGGACAATTTCCCAAAAGACAAGCAACAATTTCTTCACCATGTGGTCTTGGTGTGGAAGAACAAAGCGAATAATCGTCATCAATACTCCAGGTATTCTTTCGCCAGCCAGAATCACCTTGATTACCCTCTTCAAGGCCTCAATTTTAACTTTCACATCCCCTTTTTCTGCAAGAGAAGAAATCATTAACTATGTTTAACTGCGTATCATAGGTAAATTCACAACACAATTTCAAGCGGATGTACACCTAATTAAGTCCATTTTCAATGTCATTTCATTGTAAAGCTCTGATTCTGATGCTGCAATCAGGGTGTAACACGGTTGCTCGATGCTGTTCGCCATTGTCGTTTCTTGACTAGGCCTCACAAGCTGAAAAATAAAATAAAAATGGCACATTTAAGAACCAGAATCATAAATTTATAACATGAGAAATGAGAACTGTTGAATCTTTGAATGAGGATTGAGACCGATTCGGCCGATGCCGGCGGGGGGCTCCGAGCATTAAGTAGTAATATTTTCAGTCCCTGACACATTAGGAGACGAGCATTAAGTTGAAGAATGCTAAAAACAGCAATAAGACGGCAGATAGATGAGTAAATGGGAAAAACATGATATTGACATGAACAGATGCGGTGTTACGCTTATCTAAATGCAGTGTAAAGCCGCATCAAACAACGACGTTCTATTAGAAAAAGCAAAAATTAACAAGGGAAAAACCAACACAAGGCGTTTAATGTGCAGTGAATGAACATAAATGACAGCGGAGAAGGCTAACATAACCAAACACAACAAGTAGTCAGGCCATGTCCGTCCCTGCAGAACCAGGAAAACTAGCCTACAGGCACTTTGAGTCAATAAAAATATCACGGGAAACTTACTGTTTACAATGTAGTATCGTCTGGTAATTGTTGTTGTTATTGTCGGCGGCTATTTCCGTACGAACACAAATCAGCGACGTGTCAAACGAAACATTTCTGAAAGCACGGCAACCAACCAACCACATCACAAACAGCCTGCCACGAGACTAGCGCAGTATCACGCAGTATGAGAAATTTACACAGCTACATAAAAAAAAAGTCCTACAGTCTTTTACTAAGTCGCAAACGGTGGAATAGTCCCATAGGGCATGGGCACATCGAGACAAGTGAAGGTTTCACTGGGGATCATTGAGCGGGATCATTCAAATGCTCCCCTTTTTGTAAGGCATGGTGTTTACTGCTGAAAGAAGATAAATGTTGCAAAGATGCCTAGAGGGCATTGGTAGGCATCGAAGCACGCATAGAAGTTGCTGGAGAGTGTTAAGATTGCTTCATCAAACTTTGGCCTTAATGAAAGTATAGTCGAGCCAGCCAAAGGTGGCCCTTTTGGCGACCGTTGGAAATGCGGCGGCTGGCCGAAGCATTGGCGCTGCCGTCGCTCGGGCTACCCCCTCCACATCCCGACCGCCAATAGTAGCCGTTGTTCCGCCTAAACAACGGCCACTATTGGCGGTCGGGATGTGGAGGGGGTAGCCCGAGCGACGGCAGCGCCAATGCTTCGGCCAGCCGCCGCATTTCCAACGGTCGCCAAAAGGGCCACCTTTGGCTGGCTCGACTATAGGACCCCCAGCGATAGCGCCTGCTGGGTAGGCAACAAGCAGTACACAACCGTCCATAACCTCCAACTGCATAGCTTTTATTTGTTTCACGTGATGAAGTCCTAAAATTTTCAATGAATCCATGTTCCTGTAAGGCACGAATGCCAATAAATTCGTGGGCGAGTGATAACCTCCGCTTAAATCGTAGATATATCGTAGGAAAGACGTCGAAATTCAAGCTTCCCGCGAGATTGATCCCCAGTGAGTAGAGAACGTTCTGGGTCCCATCACCGCTAGTGACTTTCAAAGAGCCCACTGCCCATAGGGCTCGTTCATTACGCGAAATATGGCGGTACGAAAGTATGACAAATTCACGGACTGAGACCAGCAGACGACGCCCGCAGACGCTCAAAACTAGCAATATTTAAAAACCCTGATGATTTTTTACCAGATCTATGTTGAGAGTTCGTTCCTCAACACACAAACAGTACTCCGTAACCTTAATTCTTCAATATTTCCTTCAAAGGTTCGAATAAAGGTGGTAAATCGTGGCCTGACCCTCCAGCCCCGTTTGAACTGCCGCGCCTCTTTTCTGTCAAGCCTAGTTTCAGAAAGTATCAACTAAGCTCTCTCAGGGGGTCTGCACGGGATAGGCTGGGGCCGGTGGCTCGAGCGCAGGGGTGACGTCACGTTCCTATCTTTTCATACCAACCTAAATAAAAAACAAGGCTGCAATTCTCGGACCTTTTAATCCACAGTAATAGTCAAAATAATACAAATATATGCTTTTTGGAATCTTAAAATGATCACACGTATTTCAAGTGGCAGGTGATGATCGTGTACGTTAATTTAAAACCATCACTCGAAAGTCGTTCGGGGTGATGCGCGAGGTTGCATCACTGCGTTATTTGAGTTGCTCCAGCAACAGAAAGAAGCGTCCTTTTCCGCGCTGCTCATCGTCACATCAACATTGGAGGACTTTTTGGTCATTTTCTGAAAATGCCGACTGGTGGTTCTTATGATACTGCGAGATGCTGGGTCCCAGGATGCGTAAACCAGAAGATTCCGGACAGGTTCAACACAACCGTCAAGTTGTTCAAGTTTCCTGCTGCGGACTTGCCTAGGTAACATAACCGCACATAAATTGTTTATATTTATTGTTTCGAAAAGCATGCTGTTCTAAGTGCAATTTCCTCTCAGATGCAGGAAATGGCTGAAAGCTGTGGGCTCGACGTACTTGCTTTCCCTCACCACCCAACAGGTGAAAGCCAAGTTCATTTGCTGTGCACATTTTCGTGACTACGAAATCAGGAAGAACAAAGTCAAAACTACATTGGTGACTTCTGCCGTCCCTTCACAATTCCCGCCTGAAGTGTGTCCCCTTCCTGATGAACTGGTGGAGCAATGGCCTCAGAGTATGGCGAAGGAGAATCAGTGTGGAAGGGAGCTCGACTCCAGTGAATGTCAGCTTCAAACTTCTCTGTCTGCGTCAACTCCGAGACCCCTTCAGATACTTGGACTCAATCAAGTGTCGGCTGCCGGAGTGCATGCTGGAGGTTCATCTCAGCAGGCATCCTTGAAGCCTGACTCTGGTTCAAAGATGAATGTTGACATTCACTTTCTGGATGATCCAAGTAAGTGCAACACCCCCGCAAGTCTCCACCTTACTCTTAAAATTTCATGTTGCGTAGGTTCATGACGGGTGCTCTATGAGCAGCATGTTTATGTTTGTAGGGGTTAAATATTTATTTTTCAGGCCTCCCACATGGGAGTCACGTGAGTAGAATTCCATCTACTAACATTAATTCAAGGGTTTACTAAAATTCTGTCTGAAAAATTCGCAGTTGACAGCCAGTGGGAGCTCGTGAACTTGGTTTTGTACCGCCACAAGGAAGACAGAGGTTTTCTTCGTGCCATCTCAGCTAATCTGAAAGTCGAGCCACCACGGTGCACAGTGGTAAGTTGTTTTATTGAGACTTGAGTACATTTGTATGTAGAATGTCCTGGTTGTCACTCTCAGTTTTAGTATTAATCTGGTCCATTTTATTTTCTTACAGGTAGTGGTGCAGTAAATGTCAGCGGGTGGCAGTTGAGCTGTGAGCGGTACAAATCAATGAGAACTCCTTCCCTGGGACTCTTTGGACTTCCTCGTAGCATGGGCTAAGTCTTAAATCTTGTGGAACCTCAGTTACCATCTTTGTGATAAGAAACTTTGCCTTCATCTGTCAAGATTGCGAATTGTAATATTTTATGTGATACCTTTGTGTTTATATTCTTATTTTTCTCTTGTGAACCATGAGGTTCCACTTTTTGTGTAACATCTGTGACGACATCTGTGATCGGACCTAGCTTCTCACTTCCATCTTTTTTGTGGATGTGGTCCCTAACTTAGAGAGCTTTTAATCATAAATTTACATATTGATTGTTGGGAGGGAGGGGAATAACTTCACGGCTCACCGCTTCCTTCAAGGTGCAGATTCAGTTCTTTAAATGTGTATTCATTTTCTGTTTGTGTCTTATCTTTTGATGAGACGTCATACCTTACTCATTTTTTATCGTTTTCAGTATTTTATTAGTTTTCTAGTTGTGTGAACCATTTAATAGTTAGGATTTGTCTCTTGCTTCTGTGAAATTTCCTTGATTGGTGCATGGAAACATACTAAGTATGTCTGCAAGGTGTGTATGTTAGGTTTAGAATTCAAACCACATTTCTCATGATATTTTAAGTGTTGAACTATGTGTTGTCTGCTGACTACTTTCTTTTGTTTTATTATTTTAGTGTGACCGAACTTTAAACGTTCCAGTCAATTTATTTATTTTTGAGTGTTCTCTTGCTTGTCATCATACCATGTACTAGTCAATCAAGGAGAGGTTTCCTGTTCAATTATTTGTCTGTTTGCTATTCAGAATTAAAACTGAATTCTGCGCAATTTGTATGTATCTTTTGCACCACCCAGCCCCAGCACTGGTGCGTGATGAGGTTATGTTGTTGACAAGTATGGAAGCGAAACCACCTCTGCACGCCTTAATTCACTACCTCGTTGACTCAAAAACAAAAAGAATACCAAAATCTCAAATTTCGCTGAAATTTCAGCCAGAATTTTGAAAAACATCCTCAGAACTCAAAAAACTAAAATAAAAACATTTACTGTGAACTGTATTAACTGAGGCAATCTTTCCTCTTCAAAGTAGCGGGGTACCTAAGTTGATGTTGTCGAAAATAAGCTTGAACTAAAAAACACAGCGTTGGGAGAAAAATGCCCACGATTTTATTCCGTTTTTGTATCGTACGTTGGTATGAAAGGATGTGAACGTGACGTCACGCCCAGTACCGCCATATTGCTTTCTTCGAGCGAGTGGGGGAATAGCGTGGCCGTGGGGTCTCTCATAAACGGAGTTCATTACTCTATGAGCTCTCTGAAGCACTTTGGGTGAAAGAGCCAAACTTTCTGTTTCTAGACAGCGTTTTGTTTTGCTCGAGAGGCAGATTATTTCCAAGATTCGATCAATTTCTTTGGCGTCGGCTGCTCCAGACTCAGTTCGCGAGAGAACGTTTTCGTGTCCTTTACCCGGCAGTGACATAACGGTACGCCAATGCACGAGCCCTATGCTCTATCGAGAGAAAATTAACGCTCAGCGCCCTCTCCCGGGAGTCGAGGTTGGACCGACACATACGGATTGTTCTAGAGAAAGACTGATGCAAACATTTGTTAACCGAACCGTAGTTATAGATAAGAAATGCGTGCAAATTTGGATTAAAAATCGTCCGGCGAAACGATTTTAGTGCCTCGCAAGGTCTGGTTTTATCGGAGTTCTCTCCGTCATAAAGGTTGAGGTGCTCCTTGTAGGTTACCAGTTCCCATGTGTTTTCGTATTGCCAGCTGGCGAAAACTAAATTAAATAGTCACAGGTGCTTAAACGTTTGAGATCGAAAACTCCGAATCGGCCCGCACTCCTCATCATGCTCCAGCGATCATGCTTGGAACGGTACAGTAACATCGTTTACTTTTACGCCTGGTGCTATGTGTCCTGGTCCCTCTCTGCACATTCGTCAATATTTCAAGTAAATTTGCCTTTGACAGAACGAAGACAGAACTGAAAAAGTCAATAACTATGATTAACGGTTGGTTGTGATGTCTCCCCATGTGACACCTCCTCTGCTTATAAAGGCATCAAATTTTTCTTTCGAATCCTTGCAGTCTGTCTGGAAACTTCTCAAGTGAATTACATAACTGACATAAAGACGAAGCTCGGTCCTTGCTTACCAAACCTTCTTTGCAAACCTCTTTTAAATCAACTTCTCGATATCACAGTCTGATTGCCTTTTGGTGACAATATTTTCTTCCTGTTGGTAGGTTCCCTATTGCGCTCCGAGTCCATCACCATGGCGGAGACTCTTCTCAGTCCAAGTCAGGAGAACGGTTGAATAGAGGAGATGTCGCAGAGACCATGAAGGAAGTGCTAATGACCAGGTAAGTTATATACATATATACATTTTGTACATTTTTACATCAAAATAATTTTTCTTAAATGATTCACATATTTACCTTCTGACCAAATATCGTTAAAGTGTGAAACATTGTCACGGTTTTATTATGGCTGTGTGGCTTCTGAACCAAGTCTGTGTAAAAACAACGTGCATTCAAGCAGAAATAGCCTTGTTGGTTTTGGCATTGGTTCTACTCAAGAATAATGTAAATTTTTCTAAAACCTTGCCTTTACTTCATTATGGAATTTTCAGTGAAATTGTCCATGGGGTTTCAATGATGCCCAATCGGTTCCCTTGTGTGACATTGTTTTATCTTTGTCTGCAGTTTCTTCATTCTGTGCTGTCCCTGGGACCCAACCTGGCAGTGTATTTCATCGCATGTGATTCGCAGTGTAGCAGAGCCCTCGTACAGCTGTGGAGAATACGGTTGGTGTCTCAGATATGGTTTTGCATAGAGTCTAGTCTCTTTCATTATAAATAAACAAGCTCCAGCACTGCTCTTTTAATAACTTGTCTTGAGAAAATTTTAAATGTAACCAGGGGGTGGCAACGCTGTACACGTATTCTGACGCCATGTTCGACCCCCCCTTAAATCATGGTACTTTTCAAGGAGATACTCTCTGAGCCCTGCAGAGGAATCGCATGAAACTTGAGTGCGGCATCAAGTTAAAAGGTAATATTAACGTTATAACAAAACGTGACTGCACTCATGATCAATTCATTCCTCGAAACCGCAACAAGACTCAATTGGTTTCAAGCAATACTAACTTTGGTTTTACTGAAGAATATGAAATGTTTCAAAAAGAATCTCTTTTGACTATTTCATCGACTTCTGAGTCTAAAGGTCGATGTGGTTCAAGTGATTCCAATGTGTAGCCTTTTTGAGTTATTGTTTTGTCTTTTTTGGCAGGTTCACCAAGCGCGCCTCGAGTAGAATGAGGTACATACAGCAGCGTACATACCAATGGATTACCACAAGGATTACCAGCACGCGGTGGGGCCCTGTCCCGCAGGGCCCCAGGACTCTCCATCGAACCGCACGCCTCCCGGAACTCCCTCATAGCCCGGAACACTCTCAGAGACTTTGTAAGTTGCGTTTTCATTAAATGAAGTTAAGTATTTTCCTAGTTCAGCATTCTGTCTAACCATTTCTTGTGTTTTATATTAATTTAGGATTTAAAAGCATATCTTGAGAAAACAAAATCTAGAAAAGTTGTGTTTGTTGGCAACAAGGATGGAATTTTAACTAAATCCAATAGGAAACTTCTGACTTCTATACTTGCAGAGTATATTCTTAACCATACTAACAGGTATTTATCTTCTAAATCAACGTTTTCCTTGCACACTTTCTTGTCAACTGATTCCTCCATTTTGCATTGCAGTCCTGCTTTGGATGATTTCTTAATTATTCGGGAACAGATTTATAAGGTTTTCCCTGGAGAGCCAAAGGTATGTTCTTAATTTAATCCCTTATTGATGGTGTTTTTTTAGGTTTTAAAATCTGATCATAATTTTTTCTTTATTTTAGTTTTTGTACTATGCTGCCCCAAGAGAAATAAGTGAACACCAAGTGCTAGCTAGGAGTCCCGTGGCGGGCGTGAACGCTGCCGGCCCTGGGGCCCCGCAGCCCCTTCCTTGGTGCCTCCTGCATCCCCCGCTTCTCCTGCACCCGACATTCGGCGGATATCCAGGTGACTCTGCGTCGTCCGGTGGGGCCTGCGGGCCGGGGGGCTAGAGGGGTCTAGTGTAAGGTCATATGGAAGATAGGTCTGCGCAACCGAGATGCATGCTGGGAGACCGGGCAAGCCGGCAGTGGGGCTAGTGGTGGGGCCTGGGTGCTCCCAGCCCGTTGAAGGCTCGCCCCGCAAAGCAACCGAGAGATGGCACCACAGTCGCGGCTGTGCCGAGGGTTTTTCGAACAACCCGGGTGGTAGGGGGACAAGCCGTGGTGGTGGGGGCGATGAGCCGTGGTGGTGGAGGCCGTGAGGTAGCCCAGGTAGCGGCACAGACACGTGCGTCTTAGCGTGCCTGGCCCGCCTGGCCCTGGCCAGAAAACCCTGCCCAGGGAGCTGGCGACGTAGTTCCGACGGTCGCCGCTCGGAGTTCTTTGAGGTGGCGACTGGAGTCAAGCAAGGCGACCCCTTGTCGCCGCTCCTTTTCAACCTGGCTCTGGAGGCGGCCATTGGGGAATTGGCACGCCGTCTATCTGCGGACCCCACTGACCTCCAGGAACCCCTTCTTCTGGCGTTCGCGGACGATTTGGTGCTGCTCGCGGACTCCAAGGAAGCCCTCGCCGACCTGGCGGTTCAGGTGCGGGAACGGTCGAGTCCTTCATTTGTAACACAACAGTAAGAAATATTTCTGAAACTTTTATTATTTTATGTTTTAAATCCATGGTTCAAATTTATGTGAGCTTATTGGTTTATGTAACAGCATTCCCTCAGCATGCAAAATTATTAAATCGGAATGCCCTAAAGTGTGTTTGGCTGGACTCGTGCAGCCCTGTTTGCTTAGTTTAAATTCTTTTCCTGAGTGCCATCAGACAGCACAGAACAAGAGTGAAAACCTAGCCACCAGTGCCCCCAGCAGTCCTACCAAACAAGTCAAACACTTAAAACATTTTCATTTGTTATGACTTTGCTTGCTAAGGACATTGCTGTATCAAACAGAGCTCTTTACAACAAGCTCTTTACTTCTTACGATTGCAAACAAACATAAATTTTGCTAGTGGAAATAATACATGCCATTTTTTATAAATATATATTTATTTCACAAACTCTTATCTGTTTTTCTTATATTTTGTGTTTTGGAACATTTCAGCTGCATACGTTGTGGTTGACAGAGTTCTCTACCACTTCAACACTGTACTGCAAGCTGTTGACACCTGCTTCAAAATCTTCCATGCTGCTTGCATCGACTACCCTGCTGAAGCTAAACATCTGTGGTATATTTTTCATGATTTTTTGTATGGCTTGAGATGGAGAGATGCCCAACTCTACTGCTGAATTTTTACTCACTTTGATGTCTGTTTAATTTTTCTAAAAGAAATGCAATCCTTTATTTAAGTTCAATTTACCCTACTGATATTTAGGATTTGCAGTTACTTTTAATAATTTAGTTTTTTATCTTTTGACTAGTCTAATTGGCATTTGCTGTGATGGAGTCCTCAGTATTTCCTTGTTTTGTTTGTGAGATATCTTTTGCAACAGCTGACGGTCTTGTAGGTCATATTAGTCTCCACTCGACCCTACAGATACAAATTAAATTTAATGGCTGTGTAAGAGAGTTTGACCGAATGAAGTACTTTAAGAAACATTTAGCTAGTCACCAAGGAGTTCCTGTATCTGTAGTCAGTAATGGAAACAAAAAGCTTGTACTTGTGAATAATGTAGAAGATTTAGATTCTAGTGAACTTAATGTGTCTGTGGAACCCAAAACTGAAGCCCGTGCTTTGGAGTGTGAGGATCCATATGTTCATCAGCCGTCAGGTGAACAGTTTGATCCTGCTTTACTTTTCCAAGCTGTAAACAATAATGTTTTGAAAATATTAGGAGATCTGCATAGCAACGTGGAATGTTGTAAATTGGGTAAAGCTGAATGGAACTCTTTACAAGCCAGGAATGGTAGTAGTCACTGGTCTTGATGAGTTTTTCCCCTGTTTTGGAACTATTGAAGTTATTTCTGTCACTGACCATGAAGTCAGGTTTTTAACAAAGGATTTGGTAACAATTAGCTTCAATTCACATCTTCATTCCTATCATGTTAAGGAGGATACTTCATGGGATTGCTGGAATTTTGTGAATCAAAAAGACTTGGTTACCTTCTGTCCAGTTCACAAAAATGGTGAATTGTATGTTATGTTAAGGTATCCTGTGTGATACACTCTGTGAGATCTCAATATTCGTACATTTATTATATTGAACTTTATACTTACTTTGCAATATTTATTTTTAAGGCTGGTAATGCATTTGTACTAAGTAGAAGTAAGTACTTAAACCAATAAAAATATTTAGAATATCATTCTTGTTTCATCATTTGTATTGTTTAATTCAAGCCTCAATAAGTCTCATTACAACCAAATTTTTTAATTGCGTCAAGATGTAGTAGTTTTCTCCCAATACAACCTTTTCTTGAATCTAGATGCTTACACCAGCCCTCTTTACATCCTTATTTTCAGACCAGTAAACTAAAATTTAGTACAGCTAAACTCAAGCATAATTTATACTACAAGCCACCATACTATGTTTGGGGCTACTGTAATACCAAGTATTAATTATGCTTCATTCAAGTACTGTATCGTTAATTTAAGTAGAGATTTTTTTTCGTCACATACTGGTAACCTTCCTCTTCAAAGCTTTACCTCGACACTTATAATCCTTTGCCCCTCGCACTGGGCTATCATGTCAAAGATATGCACAAGTTGACAAGAAAAAATGGGGCCGTCTCGAAAGCCTCTATTCGTAGGGTCTTGGTACCCCTCCAGCCGGCCAATCTCATTAAAAATTGTAACAAGTTCAGAGCTAAAAATATTATTGAACGTCCTGCTTCCATTCTGCAAAATTTTCTTCACCGCATACAAAACCAGCGGCACGACATGGTCTGGGTTTATATCTACGGGGTGGGCTCGCTTCATCGCACAGGTGATGAAGGTGACTGACTGACTGACTGACTGACTGACTGACAGACGTCGAAGGCCCGCCGGACGCAGCCAGCTGGCAGCCAGCGAATGCCGCCGGCGAGCCGGCGGGCCTTCGCCGTCTGTCAGTCAGTCACCTTCTGTGCGGTGCGATGGAGCGAGCCCAATCTGTCGAGATCAACCCAGACCATGTGGTGCCCCTAGTGGTGCATGCGGTTAAGAGAGTTTTAGAACGTAAAAAAAGGACGTTCAATGAAATCTTCAGTACTGACCTAGTGACCATTTTCAACCAGATCGGGCGGCTGGAGGGAAAGGAAGAACCGACAAATAGGGGCAAAGCTCTGAAAAGAAAGATTACCAAACTTGCGCCGAGTGGGCAGTTCTACAGAGTATTACAGGTAAGCTTTTGGCCCGTCTGTTGAATTTGTTGTTGATCCGCGCTCTCTTCGTGGCCGTAGAAGACCGGTGGAGCGGCCAAAATTCTAGACGCGTTTCGAGCTCCAGAGTCGCTAAATGGGACTCGAACCGAACGTGTGACCCCACCGATGGATTGCTCGTTCGGACAGCAATCGTCTGGGCGGAGCGCGAGCGCAGCTCGGGAGCCGTGCCCGTGCCCGCCCTCGGCTTGCCACGGTGCTGCGCCGCGGTGCCGGCAGGCCGAAGGGTCGGCACTGTTAGAAAATGGTTGTACAGAAACAATCAGATGAGTGAAAATTTAGTCGTTCCAAAACTTAGAATTTTATCATGAACCAAAGCGAAACAAATGTCGTTGACTCATGTCAGCGACAATTTGTCGTTGAAGAACAATATTCTTGTTATCACCCTTAACGATACAATTTGTGTGGAAACAACATCTTTTGCAATTATCTGCTCAATTAAAGAGAATTATGAAAATTCATCTATTTTGTTCGCAAATCTTTTTTGACTTACAATACTTGTTGATGACTTACAACATGGTCAACGACTTGTTTTTGAAAGTGGACTGTTGATGTGTTATTTACAAGTTAGTCGTTGTAAAATTATCCTTTAGTTCCTGTACGACTATGGTTTAACAAGCTATTCGTTCCACAACAAATCTTGTCGTTAAAAAAATTAGCGACAAATGTGTCGCTAAGTTACTACAAAATTTTTATCAGTGCGTTTTCGTTTTCGCGTTTCCGCGTTTCCGTTTTCGATTTTCCGTCCCAATGAAAGAGGCAGAAAGATTTTTCCTCAACGTTCTCAAAAACACTTTAGTGGCATTTTCCTCAGAGACCGTTCAACATTTTGGATTGAATTTTGTTTTGGGAATTCACCAAAATAAATCTAATAAGTAAGCAAAGTTTCAAATTTCTGGGATTATTTTAAAGCCTACTTGAAAGTTTCACCAGGGTCCCTTCAATGTCTGTGTGTTCTTAGTGTTTCCGAGACGTTCATTGATATGCCCAGATATTCCCGGTATTCTGAATGTTCCTTGGGATTTCTAATATTCCTGGTGTTCAGAAGGGTTCCCATGTTCCCTTCATGTTCTCTTCATGTTACTTTGAAACATGTTCCTCGTACAAAACATTTCAGAGTTGACCCCCCTCGGCTTTTTCCTTGTTTAAAAATTTGATTTCTCTACTGTTTCTTGTGTTTTTCTCCAGGCCAATGGAATCATCGATAATTGGCTAGAGATGGCCGTGCTGAAGGGGGCGCGAGGGCGGAATGACCCCCCGGACACGCCCTTGCCGCCGCCCCTGCCGCCGCCCTCCGCCAAGATGGTAAGTACAGCGCTGTTGTAGCGTCTCAGTGGCGAAGGGTCTCGAGGAAGGTGGTTGGAAGGATGGTTTATTGGGGTAAGAGGGGGCGAGTCAGGGGTCAAGGAAGGCCACTGGCAGTTGAAAGCGCTCCTGGCCACTCCTCGCCGTGGACCAGGACGACCTTGACGTCGCGATGCACTTGGTCCTTGTAGCGTTTCCGGATGCCGCCGACCGGATGGGCTGGCGCGACGAACACGGCGCAGGTTTGCGGGGGCGGGCGGGGGGGGGGGGGGGGGTGGAGATGACCGGCGTACTGGAGGCGGAGTCGACGGATCACGTTGATGATGGAGGGCACCTTCTTGATGGCCCGGACTTCCTCGACACTGCGCAAGAACGGTGACAGGGCGCCCCGGAAGAGCACCGCGCAGGACGTGCCCTCCTGCGAGACTCGGATTAGGTCCAGCAGTCCACGCGGCGTCCCGATTTTGGCCAGCGCCGCGTACATGGAGGGGCGGTGCACACTGTCATATGCCTTCGCGAAGTCCACAAACAGCATGTGCGTGTCCTCCTCCTCCCCCTGGTCGTCTCGGAGGGCGTCCATCATCACCTCAGGACTCCAGGACCTCGCGTTGTCGCGGGCCCATGATTCTTAAAGTCCTGGAGTCCTAAGCGTCCGCGGTGACGCGAAGTCGCGATGTCCTGAAGTCCTGGCGCCGCGGTTTCGCGGTTTCGCGGCCTCGCGGCCTCGCGCACCGTTGAGTCAAGACGTGGCGGTGACGAGAAGGCGCTATGGCGCGTAAAAACGCGTGAACCGCGGCGCAGGGGCGCACTGACCGCCCCTGACAGCACCGCTCCATTCCGGCGCGCCCGTCGAGTCGAGCATAGGCAACCCGCTCGCCCGTTGCGTGTTACATTTTACACCCATTACCATTACCATTAAGGGCTAGATAGTCCGCCGCGCTGCGCCTCAGGGCTGTCGCCAGCGGGGGCGGGCCCCGGAGGGGGCACTCGGACACCTGGTGCGCGAGGGCCTCGAGGAGCCGGTTGCCCTTGCCCTGCGCCCGCGCGCAGTATAACACCCCTTCCGGGACGGTCACTTCTTGTTTGTCCCGGACCCCGGTGATGATGTCGCGTTCCATTGGCACTGGCACTTGCACTGGACCCGGCGAAAGGGCCCCCGGCCCTCGCCTTGCCCCTATCACTTATCATTGGGCTCGATGGGCGTCGCCATCGGCCTTTGGGACTAGCCGACACTCTCCAACAAGCACTGAGTACAGGGCAGGGTGACCCTCGCTGACACCCACACTGGCGCCGCTGCGCTGGGCCCTTCCCGCCAGCCCGCACGGGGGCTGACGCTGCGTGGCTGGCGCGGACCAGGCGCGGACCAGGCGCCGCTGCGCGCGAACTGCGACCTGTGCACCTTGGCCGGGCGGACCGCGCGTCTCGCCACCAGACCCGAACGGGTGGTGCACGGAACTGACCAATCAGCGCCGACTGGGTTTCTATTGCCCGCGGTACCCGCCACTGTCTGTCTGGCTGCCTGCCTGCCTGGGGCGAAGAATGCGGAAAACTTTGGGCCTTTAAAACTTGGCGCGGAGGGAGGGAAGGTCCCGCCCGAGGGGGAAATCTCTCTCAAAAATTGTGACACGACAACTCCCTACGGAGTTGTGGAGGTGCTCGGCTTCACAAGGTGCTACAAAATGGGTCACTTATTATTGGTGTCTGTTTCCAGATCGAACTAGTCGAGGAAATAATGCTGGCCTGCCGCCCCGCCGAGCCCCCCACTGAGCCCCCCGCAGTGCCCCCCGCAGTGCCCCCCGCTGTGGCTACTTTGGAGCCTGGTGCCCTCCCAGGTCAAAAGTAAGTGTCAATTTCATACTCAATTCACTTCTCGTGCTTATAAAATTAATTTCCCTTGATGTCCTGTTTGTGTAGGGAATTTGTCAAACCTATTCAAAGACCCTACTCAACTGGGAGTATTATAAATGTAAAGTCTTCCAAAGATTTTGTGAGACCGCTGCCCAGACCTAACATAACAGCAAGAGTCAAGTGCACAGTCAGTAACACCTCAGTGGCATCGGTTGTACTGCCTGCCCCTCAATCCCAACCGTCTGTCAAAGGTAAGCGGCCACAAGCTTGTTTTTGCCTGGAGTAAGTGCCTGTTAGACTGTCATTACCTGGATTCTGTTTGCAGAGGAAGATGCTGCAGTGCAGCCTGAAGATTTCATTGAGGACGTTGACAAAGCGGATGAAAACAACCCATTGGCTGTTGACGACTACGTTTTCGAATTCTATGAGTACCTGTACTCCCTAGAGGTAACTTCTTCCCCTTCTTTGTATATTTTTCTTGCTCTTAGATATGTCACTGACATTTTTTTCCTGTGTCTGTAGGAGAAGTATCCTATCAAAAAAGGCTTCTTGCATGGACAAAATATTTCACCTGGACTGCGAACAGTAATTGTTGATTGGCTTGTATATGTCCAATCGGAATATGGCTTGTTAGAAGAGACACTTTACCTTGCTGTCCAAATACTTGATAGGTATCTTCAGGTGAGTTTTACACAATTAATTGTCCATTATTCCTGTCCTGTTTCACCCAATTTTCAACTTCTTTTTTTTTAAATTTTAGGTTGTCCGAACTCTTCGCATAAAGTACTTCCAGCTGTTTGGAGTGGCTGCCATGTATGTGGCTTGCAAGCATGAGGAAGCGAATATGCCAGACTCAAGTTTTTTTCTTGAAATTCTCAATGTCCTCAACATTTACAACAAGGAAGACCTTCTTTACGTGGAGGCTTGGATTGTTGAGACTTTGGAATTCCAATTCAGTCGTCCTACTTCTCTTACCTTCCTTCGCCGGTTTAGCAAAGTTGTGGAGGTATACATCTTTCATGATAATATTGATTGTTTTACCTTGAAGCAAACCTTGCGAATTACATTGCTTCTCTGCTGCAGGCCAAGCCCATTCATCACTGCTTTTCCAAGTTCTTCCTTGAACTTGCCATGATGGAGTATTCTCTCTGCCACGTTCGGCCCTCTCTTATTGCTGCTGCTGCCCTCTACATTTCTCTGTGGTAGGATTTTTAAAAATTTGCTGCCTTTTCTTTCTTTGCCTCGCGACTTCTACTACTACTTTTTCTCCTTGCATTGCAGCATTTGTGAGTTGAACAAAAAGACTGGCCCGCAGAATTGGGATGCCGAGATGGTACACTGCTCCTCATACAAGTTGCCAGAGGTGGAAGAATGTGCAAAGGCTTTGGCTGCTGTGATTGTGCAATCCTCAACCTGGAAATATGAAGTGAGTAGCCACACGAATCTTGGAGCTAATTTGGGCCTATAATCTTACCTTTGATGTTAAAATTATCTTTTTTCTTTCAGGCTGTTAAAGAGAAATATTCAAATTCTGAAATGATGGAGGTTGCTTTACGACAAGAGTTAACATCAGAGTGTGTGATCCGTCTTTCAGAGGGCAAGAGTCCATTCCCTTGACTCAATTGACTCATCCTCATTTGCATGTTATGTTCATGTCCGAACCGTGTGATAAATTTTATTATAATTGTGCTCTGCACAAAGACATGCATGTTCTTCAAGATCTCAAGCAAGACTGAGGTTTTTAAGTGATAAATGATATGTTTCATTAAGTTTTAGTGTAGTGATGGTAACCGAATGTTCCACTTCAGTGCTCCATGGTTTTTTGTAATGCTTTTTAATCACATTGACAGTAATGCGTTGCCTGTTTCGTGCAGTGTCTATCTATACTGAACTTATCAACTGATTCTGGACTTATAACTGTACTTCATATTAATATTTTTCTGCATGGTAAGATTTCAATCAGTGAACATTGTCAGCTATCAATATGTAGGTTTGTAAGAGATGTCAGAATGAAACTCTCAATTTATTAAGATTTGCCTCAACTGTCTCTACTGTAAAAATTGAGTGTAAGCGCCAAGTTAAATCCATTAGTCAGAAGCCAGTCAAAAAGTTGCATTAGCAATCCATAGTCTCAATGAATGGTTTGTTTGTTGTATGATTTTAAAAGCCATAAGTCTAGTCTGAATTCAGCCTCCTTTGCTCTGTCAATTTTCCATAGAAGATTAGGGTTTCTCTTTTGAAGGGCTCCATCACCTTCTTGTGATAATTTATCTAGTTCTATGTGCCAACCTGGTTGTAAGCGGCAAATGAAAGTTCTCCATTAGTCAGACTCCTATGTCCAAGCCAGCCAAATAGTGGAATTAACTATCTACAGTGTGTTTTGAATGTGTTGTGTTCTGTTGAGTGTTGTCTATGAATGTTTTGTTTGTATTATGATTTTGATTTTGAAATGTGTCGATATACCATTTTGGGCTCTGAAATATTTAAATTGAACATCAATACGGTGTATCTTGTAGCTGTATTACATTTTTAAAGTGAGTCTAGAATGTGTGGATGAACTCTGTTCAATGTTGTGGCTTCTGTAACATTTTTAACAAATCTGGCTCGAAGTACTGTAGTTTGTCTCCATTCCCAAGGAGAACAGAAAAGTCATAATGATATCATATTGCTATCTAATGCAGGTCACGACACAACCAGTCAAAATGACATCAAAATGGACCAGATTTTGATGTTCCAGTTATATCATTTTGATGTCATTTTGACTTCCCCCCCTTAAATAATTTGAGATGTCAGTTGGATATCACTTTGACATCATGTTAATTTTTCCATTCGAGGGCGCCTCTCTTCACGATTAAAAACTAATTTTAAAAGAGCTTGTGCAGGAATACAAGGGAATAAAATTCTAAAGTAATTTCAAAAGAAACAGTATTTATTACACTTCTTTACTTAAGAACTTAAACAGCTCCAGGATCATTCATTATGATAACAATAATAAACATTTGAGAAGCGCAAATTTGTGCTTAAACAGTTTTCTTTGATAAACTAGCAAAATAACTTGCCTGGAAGAAAAAACATAACGAAGTGTAAACCTTAAATGATATAGACATCTAGGATACTAGAAGAAAACAGTCACTCTGTTGCTCATAGCTGCTTAAACAAAAAAGAACAAAAACCTAATATCACAGCTCATCTAGGAACATTGAATGTAAATTGATGTATACCATCACAAACTAAGAATAATAATCATTAACATACATGTTATGAAAAATTGAGATCACCCAAAAGTCAACAAAATAAAACTCATGTCACAGCTCCAGGAACACTGAATTGATGTGTATCATAATAATCACAATAAAACATGACTTGGAGCATACAAATAAAGCAAAATAAAAACTAACAAAAATTAGGAATCAGTCATTCTGTTGTTTCATCACTGCTGTCGCCACTACTGCTCTCAACTTTTCTTTGAGAACTAGTGTTGAACCAACGCTGAATTTGGCCAGTTGCCATGATCAGATTGGATTTGCTGAAGGTTTTCTTCAGAATACCTGACAATGAGAAAAAGTCATTTGTTATTGCCATGTGCACAACTTAATTGGTATATTGGCGAAGTCCCCAGAATACACATTTTCTTCATGCAAGGGTCTGTGGCCCTGCTAATGTTTAGCAGTAAATTCTACCCCCCACAAGATGAGTCACTGGCAGACATTAGGGGCACACAGACTCTGACATCAAGCACCAGCTTATTAATTTTGCACTAACGCTAAAGATAATTGTGTGCTATCTGGAAGTGGAATAAAGGCGATTACTTACAAAGCATGAGCTTGCAAATTTTAGTGGGCTTCAGAGCTATTTTTGTCTCTTTTGTTCCTTCCCAGCTGATTGTTCGGGCAAGCTTATTGGTGAAAAGTGTCTGAAGAAGCCATCGGGTAGCCTTTGTCTCTTCTGATGCATGGGTTGATACTTCAAGGCGCCCATAGTAATACAGCATCTTAAGAAAATTAAAGATTAGATTTTAACATCAATGAACTTAAGTTTAAACAGAGCTTTCACTTACCAGCTTAGTAAACTCTGTTTGACAACATCTTTGACAGCTTGGTCATGGAGCCCGTGGATTCATCTCTTCAGAATTCACCTGTTGGCGCT